GATCAAGGAGGCATAAACACCAAAAAAAGAAGGGAGGAATCTATTACCTTATTTTGTACTTGGAGTCATTCTTTTCACCTAGCAAAGCGAGGCCTTTGCGCTTTTCTTTTTGATTACCCATTCCCTAACACTGCCGTGTTCTGTCGGCTTTGCCCGTGATACCTCGCCGTAGAATCTTTTTCTAGGCCTTTGAAGGAGAATCAGGCTGTCTTGACAAGAAACCAGTCAATATGTAAGCTGCAAATAGCATTCCCCTGACCAGAATCAGTTGATCAACTTTGACGACTCAAGCCCGCCAGGGCTCTATGCCGCTGCGGAGGAGAGACTCGACCATGCAAAGATACAGCGTCGGCGGGTGAGACTTATTATGGCTTTTCGTAATGGTAACGTGTCAAATAGTGGTTGTGAGTCGGAACAGTGTCGGGGTGGTAGCCGTCACTGGGGCTGAACGCACGCCTACACCACGGCTAGCCAAGGCTGGCAGACCAGTGACTCTAGCAGAAGAGGTTGAAATGCTCCTGTGCGTGAAACATCGGCCATTTGGAACGCACTCAAACTTCCAATTTACGACGCTGTACGTCACTGTGAGCGAGGGGGGGAAAATTCTGGTTTCGGGTTGGAAGGAAGGAGGCCCTGTGGCAGATGGCAACTGCCCAGCGCCAAAACAAAAAGCAAGCAAACAACCACAATCTCTAGCTGTCACGTCTGGAAATGGAAAAATACCAGAGAAATGAAAAGAGGGAAGAAAGAAAAAGAAAATGGAGCCAATAAAAGTATGCAGCGGTGCTCCGGAGCTACCACACCTCTGACGTCCAGGGTGGTAAGGATGATTGGGTTGGCTATGGTGGGACTTAATGACTAACAAGAAGGCAAGCTAAGGCAGAAGTGTTCGAAATAAGGAAGGATGTGAAAAAAGTTTCTTGAGGGTGGGAGCCTTGTTGCTGAGCCTGGATGAGGAGCTGGGGGGTTTCCCTTCCCCCCTGTGGTCACTTGAGCTGGGCGCCCCTGAATGGGAATCAGACGGGGCAGAATGGTGAAGGAGGACTGAAAATAACGAGCTAGTTCGCCTCACTAAACGAGTTCTCTGAGTATACACCGTTGGAAGTCGCTTTGCGGAGGGAGGGACGGTCCGGGCCAGAGCCACTGTTCTTCCACGTTCTTGCAGGCACTAGCAAGGCAACTAGGCTACAAGCACAGGGAACCGAGGGTACCCAATGTTAAGTTTTGGAGAAGCTTCCAGAAAGATATTGCACAACCTCACATATGAAGCAGGAAATGGTAAGTATTCTGTTACGCCTGCGGAAAGGCTGGCGAGGCGCGAAGACCAGCCGATGGAGTTATTCCTGCCGCGAAGAAATTACAGTCCTTCACCGTCGACCATGTCCTCAATCAATAGCTGCTTCAAAACTTCATCATAGAGATAAGTGATTAAAAACATAGAAATGGATAAGATTCCAAAACTCGGAGGCGTCTCCTGGCCTTGACTTGCCATGGTATTTCCGTGACGAACCCCACGTGAGGTCGGCCACATACGTGAGTTCTGCGCCAAGTTCTTCTAACTACGCACTGGCGAATCATTTCTAGATAAGCCATATATTCTCAGAAATAGTTTACCCTTTTTTTAGCATGCGAATTACATGCAGCCCTTCGCATGTTGGTGGGTGGGCGGCCGCAAGTCTGCGACCAGAGCCTGTCAGCCTGTCAGAAAGCCGTTGTTTGCGTTGGCGAAACCAACGCAACTCTGGAAACTCCTGATCTGGATTAAAACCCTCAAAATCTGCCTCGGGCCCCAAAAAAGGTCGCGTGTCATAGTTGTCCGCTCATCAAAGTGGATACTGTGCGGTCGCCTCGTTGCCTTCCCTCATGCGTCGTGATTGTCAAAGACTATTTCCAATGCAGAGACAGGAATTGGGAGTAATGTGACCAGATACTTCGGCATCTAAGTGTATCTGCTTACTTACCGAATAGGTAGAGGGCCGACCTCGCCGAGGTTGGTCTGCGCTTGGCTACCCCTGGATGCCGCAGACATAATGGTTCGCCGGAGGATCGTGCCTACTGTTGGGAAAAGTTTTCAACCTTAGCGCAACAACGACCTGCCATGGCTTGCTGTCTCACACACCGGGATCCTAAGTCCGTTTGTGGTGTGAGTGTGTGCATTCCGGATTCCAGGTCTGTCGACCCAGCAGGCCTCGCGATTTGCGGGCGATGTGAAATCTCCAGTCAGTGAACACATCATGCGGGCGGTAACGGGCAACATGTCCCATTGTAGCTTCGATGCAGGTCGATGTTGGAATGAACTCGCAGAGAAAAGGGTGTTTCATGTGTGGCGCCGAGTGCTTCGCCGAGCCGGCTTTCCACTAAATGCTGGTCACTTCCTTGCTTCCAGTTACATCCCTGGTTGTCATGGAAATGGGGGACTCTGTGCCGGCAGGTCATCCCCAGCCCCTTTCCAGATGTTGGTAAGATTCCAGGAGTTGGTACTCGGGAAGGGAGACGCGTGTGAGTTTCATTGGTATCTGTCTAGTCGGCAAGCCAACTGTAACCACCAAGGAAACCGGGAGCTCCGGCAACCACACTACTGCGGCCACTGTAGAGCACACTAACGGCAAGAAGCCAATATGTGTTGGATGTGAACGTAGAGTGCCGGTACTGAGGTGCGGCACAGAAGTGGGTGCTGTGAACAACTGGTGTAGGATAGCTCTTATTGACAAGCCTCATGTTTGATCCGACATGAACCCTAAGCTCAGAGAGGCCAGCTCGATCGGAGTTAGCTGTGCATGTCAATCACCGCGGATAGGTCCCCATTAGGAGATACCTTTGCCGCCGGGGAAGCCACCCTGATGATCCGATTAGCTGTTGATAGCTCGCGCGCAGCGTCCAAGAACACTGGAATTAGCCCAAGGCTTGACATCACGTCTTTTTTTGCCGACATGGTCGGGAGCACAATAGCTACGATCGCCGAGAAGGCCCTGCATTATTGCTGCTACAGGACGGTGCATGCTCGCTAGGTGTACCCTATCCTTCGTTTGCTCATCGCCCCATTTCGAGGATCCGACAGCGGAAGTGGTTGATCGGCCCAATGATTTGGGTTTTATCAAGTACGTCTGTGAATCGATTTGGGATCAACACACAGCAGAATGAACAGAGATCCTTGCACGTATGCGTCCTGGTGGTTCCGGAAGGTGTTGTCCACTTCCGTGACACGTGATTGGATGTAGACCAGGTCCAAAATGCGGCTACCAGCCACACCAAAATGTAACGCCAACGCTGCGTTATCCTCTTTCAATTTGTTGGTTTATCTTCTGCTCCGCAAGCTGAACCGGAAGTCTTCGTTACACACCCCATATGCACACTGCGGAGAAGTAACCCGGATAGACACGAACGCGGCATCATCATGCTGTATTGGGCGTGTTTGCCCGTTGGTGACGTCTGGTGCCCTCCTTGCTTCGCAGCCCAAGATTGATCAGTTAACAATTCAACAGACTGTAAAAAACCTATATGAGGCTTTTCCAACTGTCAAGTGGAGGTTGGCCGTGACAAGATAAAAGGAAGGTATATAATGCCGTGTAGTTGTTGTAGTTGGACAGCACCGAGTATATCGGTCCTATGGAATTAACAGAAATATTTGAAAACCAGAAATCATCAAGAGCAAGACTAGGCACATAAGTTAGAGTCGATGGTGGCAGATTGACAAGCACAATGTCGTCTCCTGAGCAGAGGTGAATATGGGAGAGAAGCAGGCGACAGGGGCGGTAGCCAAGGGTCGCACATCAAATAGAGAAATACAAACCTCAAAGCAACTCCAGGTGTAGTGTTGTTACTTACCTTTAAGTCTTACTCCCCTTATCCTTGAATAGGACCAAGTTCAGCCACCTAAGCTCAACTCACTTCCCCGCACAGTCCGTTGAATTATTTCTTATTCTTCCCCTCATGCTTTGCACTTCTATTGGTTTACTCCCTTCTCATCCCTTTTGTTACTAAAAGGTGGGGTCCGATCATATTAAGCGCTTTGCATGATCTCTCCCACGTTCCCACGCTCCCATGCACCCCTGCTCCCATGCTCCCACACCTTCCTCCCTCCCCCTCATTGCTAGGTGCAGAGGGATAGATTATGTTAAGCGCTTCGCATGAACGTCTCACTCCCTCCCCTGCCCGCTTTCACTCCCGCTCCCGTCCTGTCATTCTCTTTTTCAATCGTTGAGGGGTATGTACTACATGGGTGGGGTGAATGTAAGTGGTCGATCATGTTCATTTTGGGATGATCCTCCTAAAGTTGCAAAATCACCATAATGGCTGGTCTAGAAACAATCCGAAACTTGGAAGCATACTCACTCAGTCAACAACCAGCCACCTTTGTCTTCTTCTCCATGTCAGACTCCATTCCTGTATATCATATTTCCAGGGCTCCCACGGCAGATGCGAAGCCCGGACCACGCTCAACACGCTATTAACGCCGTTGAATAAGCATAAATGTATGATTACCAAGACTGTCAGCACAATGTCGAGCTTTGCGCTCAGCCCAACGGCTACTGGTATAGTAAATCAAGCGATACTACCCATGGAAACACGTCGCACATGACCATGAATCTGAAGAGACATCTCCGCGCCACCCCGTCATGGGCAAAGACAGCCATGCTGCTGAGTACCAGAAGCAGTTCTGCTACAGCCTTGACAATGGAGTCTAGTATAAGCCTAGATGGGTTGTAAACAGTTGAGAAGCATGGTCAGCGCTGGATAGCCCACCTACAACGTCAGCAGATCACACAAATAAGCGATCCTTTAATGACAATTGCGTCAGGAATGCCGACCAGTATACTGTTTACAAACCCACTGGGGCGCAATTACCACAGTACCCTGGCTGCAGGTATGGCAGACGACTCGCCATGTTACTGACAAGGCGAGAGTTGGCAGGTGCAACGAGCCCACTTAATCCGGGTCACTACTTCAACGTCCATGGCGAGGGTTGAGGCCTTCTCATGAATTTCTATGACTTTAATAACCTAGGTCTTATTCCAACAAAGGGGAATGTAACGGCTTCAACAACGTCAGTGATGAATATGGTAACGGCCATGAAGTACGGAAAGCAAAGAAAAATGAAATGATGTAGAAGATGCATGCATACCGCATAGATTCCAATCCATTTCTTCTTATGTGTTCGAACAGCCTATCAACCGTGGCACTTCTTTTATTGGATCTCGTGTTATGTGGTCTGTTTGTTTTGAAGACAAATGCGGAGGTTGGTGTACCGTCAACACCGAGGTGAGGATGTGAATTGAGCAGCTGGTTCTGTGGGCGAATGTAAATTTCGACGGAAAAATAGCCAGAGGGCCTGGTATGGTTTATAAAGTGTCAGCCATCGAATCATAGTTGAGTTAGACTTAAATGCTATACCATATATCGTGATACATAACCCCATTTCTGGTATCTTCATCCAGGGTGTCGAATGCTAAGAGTAGAGTTGGTGGACGAACCAGTTTAAGGCACTCACCTGCCTAACCCAGCCGGGATGAACCGATCTTTGAGCGACAATATTGGATTTTGATAGAAACCGTATACTTCTACCTCGGTCGACATTTCATTGCGCCGGACACAGATGGTGGCTGACTGGGATGGTGACGACGGAACGTAAGCTGTTTACAGGTAGCTCTAAGACGTCCATTGACGAAGTTGTCGGCGTATCTTGGTAAGGCAGGACACACCCTAAATCATAACAGAGGAAAGAGGATGCCGACGAGAGAATTTTCTAATGCTAAATGGGTGAAAACCAACGGGGTTTGAAGAATCGAAAGACACGTCGCAAGAAGGAATAGAGCAGGCGTTCTGGAAAATGTCGTCTGTCACCTTTGAATATGCGACCTGCGGGGGAAGGTCAAGGTAAGGTGACGGTCTCCACCGTGGATGGGTGAACAGGACCTATCTGGGGACAGGCAGAAACTAGCAGTGGCGGCCTGTGTTCGTGGCTTGGCCAGGACGGTCTCCTCTCAAAAGCAGAGAGGTCACAGGTGCCGGAGGGGAGCAACTTCTGACGATACTGTTGCCTGATCTCATTTTCTTCCATTTTAGAATGACCCAATCAGGAGCCAGCGTGCATACTTCCGGCGGTGAAACGATAGGCGCATGCACTGCTCCCTTCTCTTTTTTTTTTTTTTTTTTTTTGCACTTTCAGAGGCACAGGGCAGGGGCGAATGGAAGCAGCTAGAAAGATGAAGGAGAAGGAGTCGCGCAAGACAGGGATGAGAGGCAGAGTTTATGGTGTGATAATTTCAAATCGCCGCAGGGATTCAAAAAGAAAAAGAGAAACTGTGACATGCCGGAGTAGTCACTGTTAAACGTCCCCGAGGAGGGAGCATTTATCTTAATGGAGTCGGCTCTTAACTCTGGTGAAGAAGTGGGACGGCGGCTCGTAAGCATAGCACTTCAATTCATCTCATCTCTTTCCTCGAGCTCTATTGAGTCCAAAGGCCCTTCGATATCAAAGCGGTTTCATGTGATAGATAGGAAGATGATTATCATTTCCTTCGAGGTGTAGATCTCATGACAGGGCGTGCGCCAACCGCCTCTAGTTTTCCAACAAGTGGGACACCACCAGTGGAGAGATACCACGTTTCCCGGGCGCCTCAAGAGGAGCCTCGGGGTGCTTTCTTGTTTTCCGGCCCGTAACTGCCCACTCATACCGACGGCACATCTTGCATTCACCTGTATCTGTTCTCATGTAGTGCCAACAACCTGGCGAACAGCAGCCAATCGGCTCGTTCAGCCATGTCCGCTGGCACCAGCTGGTGCGTCACGTCTTTTGGTCGTCCTGCTCACGTTTACATATAATTCTCGCCGGCCACTCTGACCAGTTCTTGAATGAAGGGTAACATGCTCGCCCTCGGCGTCAGATGTAGCTTCGACACTTGGTTTCTGTTCGAGCGCTGTCTTCACGCAACTTGAGCATCTTCAACAAGCCGACGACCAGAGAGAGACAAGAGAAAAGTTTGCAAGACACCAAATTCGGAAGGTTTTTAGAAAAAGAAAACATGAGTCCAGAATACCTTGTCGCAACCCAACCCTTGCTTGTGCAGTACATGAATTTGTGGATTATCAAGACCGCCAAGATACCTAGGTAGAAAATGATTGATCAATCCCATCTTTGACATTCCCATGCTGATGTGCGCAAAAGACGTGAGTTGTTCGCCCTGGATCTTCGGAAAGATGGGGCACACACTGCCGTCCTACAATTAGCTTACCCCCCTCTCCAACGGCGTGGCTACAGTGCAGCTTTCAGGAACTAGGGACCTGCAGAAATGCAGTGCCTTGGTTTGGTGGTTTGGTTGTCAAAATCTTAGAAAGAAGGTGATATAAATTAAAGTTGAGTTGAAAATAATCAACTATTCCACGTATTTTTGTCCTATTTTCAGGGCTGATATGCTTGTATGTTGCGAACAAATATTTGTTAGATGTGGGCAAGTCTCGGGTAGTGTGTGTAGCGCACGGGTTTTTTCTCCCCTCCAGGATGCTCCCCCAAGCCTACCCACACCCCCCTTCTTTTCTCCTAGTAATTCCTGCCGTAGCTCTCTCCCCGCACATCCACCAGCCCTAGCGAGACCAAAAAGTGAAATGTGAGGCATCGTTTAATACGAAAAGTCAATCACCAAACAAAATGATTTACCATTGATCCCTTGTCCAAATGCTGGAAGACACTAGTAAGGGCTTGCTTACTGCTGCGCACCGTTCCGGAGGCACAGAAGGACCGAGAACCATGTCTGGCGAATGTGCCTCTTTTCGACAGCATCAGGCGGCACCATATCAGAACCTAGTATTTGGTAACGGCACAGAAATAGTCGACACTGTACTTGTTTGCCATTCCGAATTGCGAGTCATAGCAATACTCTCAAGTAAAGTGTGCTTGACGTACGTGACGTGCAATCGAAGCCTAGAGTCGTCTAATCTGATGCACCGAGTGGATACTAACTTGTAATCTGGGTCTCTCACCTGGGCAACTCGGTTGCTATCCAATGGGGGCCGTGGCAAGGTCGCCTGCAACCAGCGCTTGATACTGGTGAAATTTCCAAGACACCATACACGCACTCACAGCTTGGAGGAGATTGGAAAGGGGGAGGAGGAGGAAGAGGGGGAGGAGCGCAGCTTGGGCCAAGAAACTCACGAGTTCAGTGGAGAGATGATCCGAGCGAGACAAGAACCGACAAACAAATGGACAACAGGGTGCTAGGAGAAGGAAGAAGCAGAAGAAGCAACGAGCTTTTTCGGTCTTGGATGCATACTTAGCGAGCTCTCGCCTGTCACAGAAGCTTACACATCTCCTACAGTGAGGCCCGAGGACTCATTAGGCATTGGTGCATATGTCTGGACATCACTCACGGCGGCATAGGGCATACAATGACTGGACCATCATTCACCCATGCGCTGGCTTGGCCTTTGGCGAGGCATGCATGCTGGTGGTGTCTAGTCACGAGAACCCATGCTGTGATAGTTGTCCCCAGCCAAAATGGTGCGTTTATCCATCAGCACTACCACTGACGTTTGTTTTTATTTTCTTGCTTCCTCAGTGGGGGCCTTTTACGCTTTCTTCTCTCGAGATGGCGGTGGGTGGTGCGAACACGCTCGTTTGGCAGGTCTCCTAGATGGTTGTAACCGTTACCGTTAAGCCAAGTTCGTTTACACACCACATCGCCTGAAATAACTACTGCTGCTCTTGAAGATGGATTTAATCTGTACTTGATCCTCTCTGAGGAGAGATGCCCACTGATGGGTCCTGTTCTTGAAATCGGTTTTCATCAACGGCCTAGTATAAAGGACGTGGCCACCACGGGCTAGAATGATACCAGGTGCTCTTCACAAGCTTACTACTCTTCTACTTTTTGCTGCAGTCTCTGAAGTCGAGCTTCGCCATGTCTACGAAGGATTCTTCCCCCCAGCACTTCGAGTGCCCGGAACCGAACTGCGGCGGGCACTTCTCGACGGCATCAAACCTTAAACGACATCTCACCAAGAAACACAACTCGAATGCCTACATGTTCATGCCGTGCTGGGTGGTACTTAAAGACTACTCTTGGAACATTAAGCGTCATATGGAAAATTGCGAAAGGTGCCAGCAAATTGCTATGGAGAACGCGGTGTTGCCCGAATCCAGCTCGGCGGGTGGGCACCAGTGAGCCTGACAGCTGAGTGATTATGACAGTCGTGCCGCTGATGGAGAAAGAAAAATGGTTGCGAGAAATTATAAGGTAAGTGGACGCAGAGTGACAGATTCATGACCGCAGACTTACATTTTGCTTCTAGTTAAGTGCTGGTGCCAGCTCGTCTCTTATGAACGGCCATTCGATTCAAGGAGTTTTGGCGTATGAACAAACCATTTACAGCGCGGAGCTTGAGGAAAGGTAGACTACAATGGGTACAGAACGAGGGGGATACAGATTGGCACCGGTATATTTTCACAGGGCTAGAAAGTACTTTTTGGAAGATTGCAATAGAAGGTGTTGGGTCAGAAGAGACCGCCCTGTTGACGCGAAGGATACAGGTAGACCGACCCATCGCTACCACGACGACCAAGTGCCCACCCGCCCCTCCGAACTGTTTGAGAGTCTAGAGATAAGCCCGTTCGCTAAATTCGAGGCCTTGACAGACGTACAGGGTTAGTTGCGTGATCAGATAAGGGTCTCCTGGCTTCCGGGTGCCTTAGCCGCCGGCCGCGGGATGGTAAAATGGGGTCTGCTCATCCTCCCATGATCATTTCTTACCCCGGTCTAGCCACCACCCGCCTTCTTCGTTTTCTCTCCAGAGGAGACAGCCCAGTTCCAAAGTTCACAGGTGACTTCTGGAGCACCACAGTCATTACAGGCCACTTTGCCTTGCAGAAGGCTCCCCGCCCCGGTTAATCATGGCGCAATCTCGTAGGTTACTTCTCCTCTCCATGCTCTTCGTACCCTGTGCAAATTTCTGGGTAGATGAGCCCACCTACCTCATCGTAAACACCAAAACGGGATGCTGTTCCACATCTGCCCTACAACAAATCCCCCATGAGCATTCCATAGATTGCTGTGGAAACTGCCCTATCAGATAAGCTTGGAACATCTCGGGGAACTGTATGATGAAACCACATGATGCCATCATGAAAGTCTATCTATTGAGATTGTGCTCCGCAGGGGCACTGACTACAAGCCTCGAGCGAGCATCGGGCTCTCGGAGACTAGTCCGAAGCTTGCTACTAATCCTGGTCGCCAGCTGGTGGCGACTGTCAGCATCGCTTTGTGAAGCGGTCGAGGCAGCAGGACAGGCTTGTTAAGGCTGACAGGGCACACCCCAGCCGCCTGAGTGTACTAGTATGAATGTAGATGGGCAGCTCCTTCTCAGAAGCACACGGTCCAAATCCGCTCCTAGATTCCATTTCCCTTTTTTTTTTTTCCACTTCTCGCTGAGCCAATAGGCAACGCGAATTGCCGAGTATGCAAATTTTATCCACTCTGCGACGCTACTTTGTACATAGAGGCTCAAGCCAGAAAAAAAATAAAAAAGATGACAGCATGCAGGTACCATGATCATGGATACCTGTGCTCCAGTGGCAGGCAGACAGGCACCCCATGCTGCACTATGCAGAGACTCCACAATAATGTCACACACCCCCCCTCCTTCCGCCCAAAGACCACTTAAACCCCTGTCCTGTGGCCCCAGTGAAGTTGGTTGGGCAAACTCCATTGTAAGCCACGGTGCTCCATGTCATGTACAATTTTGTTTAGAGAATATATTCAGTCTGGCATAGAATGCGAGAGGAAAACGAGGTAGTAGAATCAGCCGGTGGTCAATTGTGGTGAGATGGATGAATTCAATGTGAATAAGATATGAGTCCCTAAGTCAATGGGGGAGGTGTTGCAGTAAATCTTCGCTCTTGTCCAAGAAGACATTCCTCCAACAACTTTTGACACCGATAAGGGTCTGTCAACGGCATCTTTGGTTGGCAATCAGTGCAAACCCTAAAGGAAGCGTTCCCTGGCTGGGAAAAGACGTGGGCTACGACCATGAGGATGAGCCCAGGTCGACCTGGAAAGCTCTGTTTGGAGAAACAGAGCTCATCTCACCGACGTGAGATTTACTCCAGTGGATACAGGTATGCACTAACAGCCGTTCACAGGACAAGGGGTGGGAATCATCCGGTGGTTGAGAGACCAGATTACACACCCAAGTGGGTAGAGAAAGAGGCCCAGCACGGACAACTGTCAGAGGCCGTCGAATGAGAAGACGATGATCAAAATGGCGGTATGGCATTCGAAGGGAAGCAAAGAAAAGAATACACAAAGAGTGAGGCGGATGGCGACGACTGGGTCGGGGGAACACCGCTCACGCAGGCTGGTGAGGTGAGTCGGCTGAGGCACAGCTTGGTCGGCTTGGTCAGGGCGACCGAAGCACCGTCTACCTACCATCAGCGTCAACGAAAGGAAGCGTCTGGCAAGGGTGATGACATGGCAGAGGCCAGTAAAGTACAGACCTGTGGTCGCAGCGGCAAATCAGGTTGACAGGAGCGTATCCGGGCAACTCCACCTTGACAGTTCGTGCGCTAAGATCACAAGGTATGTCCTTACCGTACTGAGCTCCACCCGCGGGCACTCCAGCGGATGAGAAGCCGTCGGACAGGAAATCAATTGGCATCGTCTCATGTGGGAGGGGAGACTTAACGCCGGTCAACGAGCCGGCATCATGTGGAATGCGCAGTGGACCCGCGTTCTTCCCTCCCAGCCAGCCGCTCTTGAGGTACCCGTCTCACTCGTCGCCTCACTCATCACCCCCCTTTGGTCTTTCTCTTGTTGAGGACAATGTGCTGCGCGTAGGACTGGATAGGAGCACGCTCTTGACTGCGGACAGCACTGGGCCAGACGCACCAGTGGTAAGCAGGCGTAAGGGGCTACCTGTGAACGTGGTAGCTGTAATCATTCAGTGCAGATTTTTCCGGGCTACCCAGGGCTTCCTAGTGTGAATTTGATTAAAAAACAAACCGGGACCTTGCTTTTCCCTCGTCCTTGCTTCATGGTGAAGTTGTGACGATTGTTGCTTAGGCGCCTGACCTCGTGGTGCCCGTAACAGCAGCCCTTTCATCCTGTGGTGAACGACGGGCGCCGTTTGAGTGTGCTGACTTCAGGTATGGAGTTATCCAAGGACACCCATAGAATGATCCGGACCCGATTAAGTAGGTCTGTCCAAGAAGTACGTCTCCTGGTACAAGGTAGCCTGCCTTGCTGCGAGCACAAACGTATGCTGCCTGGCCTGAGACACCTAGTTTTCATCGTTTCTCCTGAACACCGCTCCTTGTATGAGTATCGCACAGACAATAACCATCGGCCGCCCATAATTTTCTACGCATTAGCAGTTCTGGGTTCCAAATTAGCTACTTTCAATGTGTCCAAAGAAAACTATCACATCAGGTTCCTGACAGGAAGCCTGATCGAAACTTGCCGATGGCGAGCGAGATGTCCTGGAAAATCCTCGGCAGATTAGCTTTCACAGCTTGAGATTGACGCAAATTGATGGCCAAAATCACGAATTGTTGTGTCAAGATGTAGGCGAGAAACGTTGTGACGCCTCTAGCAATCCAATAAGTCAAAGATTCAAAATCCACCTTCACCGAGTTTGTTTTTTTCCGAGTCCGCGGCATGTCGATTCGATTGTAGTTGTAGTCGTTGTGACAGTCTTCTGTGAGTGGCACAAAAACATCAATAACATTTCGTGCGCGCCAAGGATGTCTAAGCCCATCCGCCACAACGTACTCTGCTACGTGATTATGAGTATGACTTATTACCAGCACTATTGAGCTAGAATCCAGCAGGAGCATCGACGCGGACGTAAATACCCTTCGATTTTGCTGAGGTTCGTTTAAGCTACTGTCAGTGAGAAACCTTAGATTATGGGCTTCCCCGCTCGCCTTAGGAAACGTGCCAGTGGTGGATGATCGAGGTGGGGATTGGCTTTGCTTAGATCAGATGGTCTTGGTGATGTGAATGGGCGAACGTCCAGGCGCTTAGACTCGTCGTTCGCAAAAGGTAACGCACGGTTTTGTTGATCACTGGTACCAGCCGTCATGTCAGAACCGCCACCTTTTTCTCTCTCCATCTCTGAGAGTAAAATGTATCTATGCAAGCTACAGGTTGGTGTAAGTTCAGCCCTCCTCGTGTGGTAGTGGCATAGAACATATCAGTAACCGAGGGGGTCTAGAGCCAAGAAACCCTCTTTCTTTGATAGTGAGGGATAAAAAGTCCGATGTTGAGGATCCCTGTGATGACTATTGGTTCAGTGTTTAACCCTAGAAGTGTACGGTTTGATAAAAGTCTAGAGATGTTGCTACTTTACTGACCTCAAGGATAGACTCTTCAAATGACTATCCGCCCGGTTCCTAGGAAACTCGGGGTTTGAAAGGACCTGAATGCTCTGATATGTATGGGCTGACGTTTGTTCACTCACTCACCAGGTTATTTCTTTTGGTTCCTTTTTTCCCCTCCTCTTAGTGGAGGGTAGTTCTGCCCTATTGGTTGGCTCAGTTTTTTTTTCGCGTTGCCTCCTGGACTTCTCTTTCTTTTTTCTTGGTTCGTAGAAACGCTCTTACTCCGCTTTTTTACAAAAGGCAATCTTTAATCCAATATGACTTTTCTTCCTCTCAGTCCTGAGGAACCAACCGCTAAATTGGACATAATTCAGCCCAATGTGAAGGTGTTGTACCTCAAACCCTTGCCCAAGAGGCGCGACATGGGTCAATTTATCTCTGATATTTTCACCTTTTACTTTTTCTTCTTCTTCCTACGAGCAGAAGGCAAGCTACTGCGCCTATCATGCCAGACATGGCTCTATCGGCACATTGTCTGACGGGCCGGGGAGACGGTCCATCCCGCCCACCACCTTGCTTGCCTCACAATCCTATTGGGCGTCCGAGTAAGCAGCCTTTGTGATAATCCTTTCTTTTTTTGAATTGACTTGGCTTGAGAAGCACTGGTGAAGGTCGCATCTGTCCAAGATCGAGATCAGAAAACGGTTTGACACCCCCTCGTGTCTCTCCACCCCCACAGCACACGAATCCCAGCCTAGAGGCCGTCCATCTGTGCTCCCAGCTCGTCCGCTTACCGATAGATTGGCACTACAGCGCTCCAAGAGATGGACTTTACGATGCTTCCAATTTACTATGCTTCAAAGATGCGGTACAGGCCAGCTACCATCCATGGCCGGGGCCATGACGTGAATCAATGGGCAAATGCCATCCGGCAAACTGGTCGACGATACCAGGATATTATTTACACCCCGAGCAAACACTTTCCCAAAATTTGGATTGACGAGGGCCAATATCCAGGCCACAACCGCAATGAGAGCCGAACTCCGTCGAGGTTTAACGGCACCCAGAGGAGTTGGTGAAAAGAAGTTGGATGAAGCTGCGCAATCGAGCGGTTTAGTGTGGATCCGCCGCATGCATAGTTCAGGTTCTATGTGAGGCATTGCTTTTTCTCGTTCCATGTGCTGCCATGGATACCCAACGTATGCCCACGCAGACTGCAGTTGTCTCAGAAAAGGACATGATAGATCTGCGCTTCAACGGCTGACAGTCGAAACCGACCGCCATGATCGTGATTTATGACCGGGGAACTTGTTCCTTGCTTCCCGCTTGAGTCAGTTGCTCTGTTCTCAGGGTGTTATTGGAGTAGTGTGCGTAGGATCACAGATATGAGACAATATCTAACGAAGCAAGATCCGGTGCCCGAGAAGAAACAATCCCCTCGCTCGGGTGCATACTACTTGCCTGGAAAGAATAGATGGGCGTTCGCTGGATTGGTTTCTCGTAGGAAGCAAATGGAAGAGGAGGAGACCTTGCATCAAGCCATCGTATGTGTTCTCGCTTCGCCCTCGTACTCACTTGTCATGAGCAGATGTTGACCTTCCGAGCATATTCGAATTAGTATATATAACACGGACACTCACTCAACCTTCGACGACAGCTTTTGAGCAACCAGACAGTTCTCTTACTCCACCATCTTTAACTTCCCTCATCACCTAAATACCCGTTCTCTCTCTCTATCCACTCAAGAACTCATCGAAACTTTCAAAATGCCTCGCCACACAGACGCCAAATCGCATCCTCGCCCGTGCCCTCACGCCAGCTGCTCCTGGGCACCTGGGTCCGACGGAAACACCCTACGAGAACATATGCTCAAAACTCACGGACGAACGAGGAACCTGTCTTGCTGCAAGCAAGTCATGGGACAAGACAACAAAGACATTATACTGCACAGAGAAGGCTGCGTTCTCCACCCCGACAGCCAGAGGCTGTCGCAGGCGGTCAGCGACTCTCAGGAGGTCAAGCCCGAGGCGGAAGAGTTTTTCCTCGAATGCTGCATCACTTTGCTCTTCAAGTCTTCGAAATAGGCTCCCCCATGAGAAGCCTTGCTCAGGGCGGCAAACAAAATCGTTGCAGTTGGTACGGAAAGAAGGACTTACTTGGGAAGAAAAGGGACGGGCAATGGGGGTTTAGGGAGAAAAGACGGCGTGATAGACAGTACGATTAAAAAGCAGGGAAACGGGAAGGTAGAGAGACCGAGAAGGGGTAAACAGAAAGGAACGAACTGCATTCTCTTACTTTGTATTCGGAGGACTCCTTTTTTATAACGTAGCAAAGCGATGCTTTGGTATTTTCTGATTCTCGGTTCCTCAATACTGCGGTGCCCTGTGAACTGTGCCCATGTTACCTCATCGTCGAGGCTTCTTCTAGGCCTAGAACTAAGACAAGACCGCTTCGAAACGTTGAAGGCAAGGTAACTATCCGTTTGGCTGCACATGGAGTTCCCATAGCAGGTGTAGTTGATTATCTTAACGACTTGACCTCATAATGATACACTTTTGGCGCCGAAAGTGGTATATTTTAGCCCTGTAGGGACCTTTTGTAGCAGTAGCGCGCTAAGTAGGGACTCGTGAGTGAGGGAAATGCTGGGTCCTCCTCACTAGAGCCGGACACAGGCCAGCAACACTCCTGGACAAGGCCTGCTGGGCCAGCTGTCTCTGGCACATGATTTTGGGCGGCGTTTGGAATGGTAAAAATCTGTCAGTAGCACCGTACGAAAGCTTCCGCGATGCGAGGGTGGACATCTCCATGGGCGAAAGCGGGAGAGGACCTGGATCCGCACGGGGAAAAGGCAAGGGAGGGGCGGCAGTCGTCGAATGTCACAACGGAAAGCAAGCAGGCAGCCAGTCTTTCCATTCCCATGGCCTGAAACCGCCAAAATGCGAGAGAAGGTAGGAGAATGACGGGAGGAGGGGAAAGAAGAAAAGAAAATCGATAAAGGCATGCGGTACTGCCCAAGGTCACCACACCTTTGGTGCTCAGGGTGACTGAGGTGGTTGTGGTGGGTCTCTGAACATCATCAAGAAAGCAGGCTAAGGCAGGATGGTTCGAAATAAGCAGCGATACGATGCTTTCGGGGGAGAAGAACATCCTCGCCTAAGGGTGGAAGAGGGATTCGAAGGTATCCCGGTTCCGCGTGGCCATCCGAGCAGGGTGTATCCTTGACAAGAAGTGTGGAGGGTATTCTGAGAAATTAGCAATGGTTTTAATGGGCTATTTCACCTTCCCAAAGTTCTGTTTGTTTGTGAAAAGCGCTGTATATTCATGTTGCGGGTGACAAGCCCAGCCAGGGCCACCCGGACTTCCCATTCTTGCGACCAGACTACCAAAGCAGGGGACCATGGTCACCGGGTACAAGTCGTTGGCGAAGATTCTAGAAGTTGGTTGAGGTCACTTGTATGGCGCAGAGTCATGGCAAGTAATACGTGGTCTCTTTACAAAGGCTGGCGAGATATGGAGAATCGGCCGATGAAGTTACCCCTGAAGCGATGTGGAAGGCCCGTCATTATTAGGCAGTTCCTCAGTCGTCCGCTCAAGTCCTTCCGTTTGAACCTAGGGAAAAAAGTACACGAGAACTGCAAATCATTCAAAACTCATAGGGCCCCCTGTTGTGGCCGGTGGTGATATTTCTGGCATGAACCCTGTAAGAGGCTGGCCTCTTCCACGGTTGCCTCGCCCAGTTCTTCGCGTTAAGCGCTGAAGAGTGACGAATCAACCGAGCGTGTATATTCTCCTCGCATGCTGACTTCTTGTATTCAAGATCTTTTTTTGTAAAGTTTTGTATGTGCATTTGCATTCATCCATGATTCTGATTATGGTGATTATGGTAAAATTACCAGGCTGCCCTTCGTGCTGTCGGGGGGGAGGGGAGGCGGCCTTCGGTCTGCGGCCGAAATCAGTGGGCCTGTGAAGAACACCGAGCGTTACATTGACCAGACCAACAAACCCAGCGAACCTCCTAATCCGGAACTAAAGTCTGCCTTGCGCCTGGAAATGCTGTTGAAAATTCTCTGGGTCTCAAAGTGGAAAAACCGCTGTCGTCTTGTTGCCTTATCTAACATAATTCCTGCTGGCGCCCTATACACTTGCGAAGAGGCCGAATGAGAACATCGACGACGGAAATCACAAGTGCCCGAAGAGCCTACCTGCTCATACATGAGGGGGTGACCTGATTTTGTGGAGGTTGGTGTGCGTTTGCGTCCGCGGGGGTTCCGTGACTCGAACAGCTCAGCTCCCCTTGATAATCTGGCATAAGCCTGGGAAAATTTTCACCTTGGCGCACCGGTGACCTGGGTTGAGCTCACCGGTTTATACACCGATACTTCCGGTGTGTGTGTGGTGTGTGTGTGTGTGTGTGTGTGTGGGTGGGTAGTCTGAACTTTTGAGCTGTTGGTCCAAAAATACCTAGAAGAACCTGGTGAGTTGTGATGGGTGAAGTATCTCCCGGAAACTGCAGCAGCATACCGTAGTAACGATCGGAAGACTACATTCCAAACCAGAGGCTGTATGCAATGTTGGGATATGGTCTAGAGGAAGCCCTTTCTTCCTGCATGACGCTGAGTGATCCACGAACTCGGCTTTCCGTGAACATGTAATAGACGCCGGCTTCCGGCCATGTCTCTCGTTGTCAGGAGGTAGGGAACATTGTGCTGGCAAGACTCCTCCAGTCTCCTTTGCAAAAGCTAGTTAACCTCTAGCAGCTAATGTTCGAGAGGGAGATGCTGTGAGGCTTCAATGACATACGCCAAGCCAGCGAGCCAACCATAACCAAGCTCAGAGGAAGCTCTCAGAATCGTACATCGCAGGGTCAGACTCAGAGACATATTGACAGCTACAAGCGAATACTTGTCGGAAGTGGATGTGGAATACAGGGACTGGGATGCGCCGTGGAAGCGGGCGCGCCGTGAACATCTGGTGCAAAGCGGTTATTGTTTCGACAAGCCTTGATTGAATGAGAGGTACCGATGCCTGACCAGTACTGCGGATAAGCCCCATAAGGCGACAAGAGCCAACTGGTAACAATGCCGTTGATTCTAGGCGTTCCTTTGGAGTCGCATGCGTGGCGTCATCGGCGAAAAGGCCAAGATGCATTTGCCGCCGCGGAAGCTATCCGGGCGACTCATTCGGTTTGTCGAGAGACCTCGGGTGGTATCCAATGACGCTGAAAAAAGGTCAGAGTATGTTTCCCCGTCCTTTTTCAGGCACGAGCAGGGCCAGCAGTGGCTAGGATAGTCGGGAGTACCCTCCCTTTACCGTCACGGGACGGGTCTGATCTGCCCTCTGGGTGTGCACTTGGTTCGTTCGCACACCACTGCATGTAAAGGATCTGATAGCGCGGCCGGGGGTATTCCGGTTATATCTTGGCACAGGGTCATGAGTGACGTGAAGTACCTGTGTGAATTAGTCGGGATGAGCAAGCAGCGGGATGAGCGAATCTTCCAGTATGGACATACCTTGGCGTTTGGAAGATGAAGTGTCTTTTTGCAATCCGTTGTTGGAGACTGGACAGACCAAAATAGCGGCCATCAGCCCCGCCAAATAGATAAGATGGAGTCCGTGTCTTTCTTGGACTAGTCTGGTCCTCTTGTACCTCAGGGGCTGAACTGGTGGACATTACTACCCGCCCAATGTACTCTGCGAAAAGGCAATGTGAAAGAATTGGAATGTGGAATCGCCATCTCATACTCGACCATATCATTCCTTCTCTCGTTCTGGCAATTGCTCTGCTTCATACTTAACGAAAGGTGCCATTAGTTGTTGAACTCGACTGATAAAACGTATTTCATGTGGGAGTGGTGTTAGACGTTGAGATGAGGCTTACTGTATCAAAAGAGAAAGCCGACTGCGATTATCAAATTGAAGTTCTCCATATTTTCAATGAGCTCGGAACTAGAAGATGCAGAAACAGAGAAACTCGTGACCGTTGAGATGGCATAAGAGAGCTTTAGTGACTCCCGACTGAGGTTCACTCCACTATACAAAGCAGGGAGGTGAATCCTGAACGCCGGGCCCAACAAACCTACCCCGAGGCTATTACTCCATTGATTGGCGAGTCATATTCAGGCTGAATTGGAGTAGGACCGCTTCGTATTGGCCAGTTCGAGATCCGTGAGATGCTTAAGTATTCTGAAAGTCAGAGTGCAGGGGCTCCCACTACGGAGCTTCCACTACCCTGCTCTTGCCAATGGCACCAGCACTTTCACTCTTATCCTATTCAGATGTATGAGTATGTAGCTCCATTGTGGTGAAATTTCATAGTCTTGCGGCACGTTTCATGTTCCTGGACACGCTCACGACTACACGCGTCGATGGGCCAATATCACGTGGTTCGTGGTTTGTCGAAGAGAATGGCTAGAACCTCTCGCAGCTCAAAGAGATGTTCATAGCCAGATGAAACGTTTAGAAGCCTTATATCTCTCCTTATTGTAGAAGATTGGAGCCCTCTTTTGAACTGTTGGACGTATAGCGCCGCGTTTGGTACGAATCAGGCGATCCCTTACCCAAGGATCGTGATTATAGGTCAACGAGAACAATGTCGACGCCTAGGCGAGGATTGATAGTGAGGTAAGTAGACGGTCAAGAAAGAAGCAATGGAGAAAAGAGGAGCAGGCGGCGATGAGTGCAAGATCCAAGTAGCAAAGCCAGTAAAGTACAGCAAGTCACAGTACCAAGCCAGGCTTCCAATCAACTGCCACCCCTGCATCCTCTTCCCCTCCTTCCTCATTTCAAAGTCATCGCCTTCCTCTTTTACATACCGCGAAAGGATCCCTGCTCAGCTACAGGCCGTTCTAACACCATGCTGTCGACTCTACCGTGACTGATCCGTTATGTTTGGTTCAATAACAACGTGTATGCGGTTCCCTACGTCTTTGCCTGACGACCCATTACAATGATGATACCCTAGGTGATCTTTTATTCCTAACGATCTTATCTCGCATGAGGATTTAAAGTAGCCAGGTGAACATACCTTATTGCTCATGTTGTTTTACATTCTTGTAGGCTGACTTTTTGCCTCCAGAGCTCTTATAGCACGTATGATGATGGACTAGCATCCAATTATTAAGTTACACTTTAGAATCAAGTATAGCTCCATGTGTTCTTGGCTGTGGGAATCCGCAGTCCGTAGTAAAGCACTGCTTCTCACCCAGCCGCTGTTCGTACGACGGATTCAACGATGCTATCCACCGGAAGCACACTTAGGAGACCCGTGAACGGGCAGAGATTCTGCCCTGCCGCATCTAATCGGAAAACACGGTCGCGCTTCCGGATACTAGGAGCAGTTTTGCTGCATGACGGTGGTCTTCAAGATCCGGTATAGGCTTAGTTGAAGTTATCGACGGTGTTCAAAGAAGCATAGTCAACGCCGGACAACTCACTTACAACGTGAGCGGAGCACGCAACAAGCGATAGCTTTGACGACCGTGTCAGGAAGTCTAACCAGTGTACTGTGTACAAACTGGAACTGGGAAGGGTTTGTGGGGGAGACGGACTTCAGAGGGAGATTGTCCGAGGGAAATTGGAAGCCACTGGGCTACATATATGGTTGAAGGATCAGAAGCTAACCAGAAATGTTTGAAGCGTTGTAGTGAACCCCCGTCGGTTCTCGAGTAGAGCGGGTAGGCCAATACCATCTAGACCGAGCCATTGTGGTGAGGTGTTTTCCATATCTCACCATCAGCATGGGTATATCCTACAAGTGATATGGGTCCCAAGCGATCACAGAGAAGGATCACGTCAGCTTTGTTTCGCCTGTTCTCTACTCATGCCATAGACCATCAGTGTAGTCTTGAATGGACCAAACGGGTGCTAACTCCAAATCTTACACGACGGTCAAGTGTTCGCTATAATAGCCTATCAGGCCCCCAGAAACCCCTATTTATCTGTAGTCAAGTGGGCTTGTATGATAGGCTTGAACCGAGATTGACGATGATCATCTCACTCAAGAGAAGGCAAAGCCTTGGGGATCGAACATATAGACCCTGCCACCTGCTGGAACGTCACAGAGCCATGTGGTATGGTACTTCGCCGCACATGTGTGGGAATCTACAGCCCCCCGGCAACCGTTTCTCCTCATGCGCACCAATCCAAGTATGTCAAACTATCTCAAATGCTGCGTAGGGCTGATTCCAACTAGTTGTATGGGAGGCTGTTCATTGGACGACCCGCAGTGGCGTTGTGTCGAAGGAGTCCCAACCCTGCGTCGAAACTTGTTTACTTGCTCTTTCTCAGATTATAAGGAGGTGGCATATCGGGTGGCTACACGTTCCGAAGCCGGATAAAGAGCGGTCGGATCCGAAAGCGAGTCACTCGTTGTTGTGGTGCCCACCGACACAGGATGCCCTGAAACGGAAACCTTCGCCTCCAGCCGTTCAGTGAGCCCAGAAGAAGACGATCATTGCATTCTAGAATGAGTCTAGAGATGCCTAATCTTAATTTCAAACCCCGAGTGAGGAGATCGTGGACCGAAGCGGCTGAGAACGATGCAACGTGGCGGAGTCCACTTGCGGGTGGGATAGGCCAAGGCTGCAGCTAAGTGCCGACAGTGTATGAAGTGGGAAAATTATAACATGATTCGCCTATGTAATGGCGAATCGCGTCATCGATCCAAACGGCCCTCTAGAGCAGTCACGGCTACCCATATCTCATAGTTCTTGGCAGCGGCATGCCTCTAGGGCGGCCAATGGGCTCCGAGGAATAACGTAAACTCGGCACGCGAGCTCAACAGAGATGGCTTTTCTATGAATCAAAGTCTTGACTAAAGCGGGCGTTTTTGCTTAAATTCATTAATTGTACTCAAAGTTGCCGATACCGCCTGTACCCTGCGTCAACTTGGAGAGTGCTGTCAACTCATATCTGTGGGCCAGACGTGGGTTGTTCAAGCTGGACGGGTCCTGTGTTTAAGCGCCTTGCGAAGACTGTTCAACGGTACGCGGGCACTATAGGCAACCAACGAGGGCTAGCTTGACTCGCTTGACAACCCTTGAGACTCTCGCTCATTCTGTAACATGTTATCAAGCAATTACAGAGAGAGAAATAGGTGGATACCATCTTTGGAAAGATCGTTGAATACGAGGAAGGCTTCCGCCAAGTTTCCGCACTCTCCTCTGGCACCGTCATCCCCGATACTGACATTTTGAGGCCAAGGCAATTTAGTGTTTCGCAAAAACTCCGACTTCGGGCGGCCGCCTAGTAGGGCAGCAAGGTTGCCCGCTAAGTGGGCAAAACGTCTTTCCGCACTTGCTCGGAAGATATGTCATTAGTGTCTGTAATTGATGGGATCAGGGGAGTATATATTTCCCAAAAGGTTCAAGCTTTTCCCCTGAGGCGTATACTACACGCTCCGTAGCAGACGCAAAATTTGCGCGGCGGGGGGGGAGATGCCACCTGCCAAGGGCGTCCCCCATTACTTCGTGGAGCTATTCTCATTGAAGCTGCAACTTCGTCGTCGTCATGCTACGGGTTCGACATCAAGAGTATAGTCTTGGGCTTAAAGCGAGGTGATTGGATGGGGCGTGAAGCGAAGTTGAATTGGCGCAAGTGAAAAGAAGTGTGGGGAGTGGAGATTGACGCAGCTCAAAACGGTATCTTGGACCTAGACCCGGCTAGGCAGCAGCTATTCTCTACCACTTGAGTCTGGATTCGATCAATAAGTACATGGAAAATGAGATTAGACAAGGAAGGTAACATGGATCGTCTCTGGACACGTGGGAATAGCTTCAAGTGCTAAGATGGAAGGACTTAACAATCTGACAGCTACCTTGGAAAAGGGTCTTTCAAGGAGCCCCACCACCATGGGCGGCGCCGACCGAGAAAGCCGGCCAGACGTGGCTTATGTGGGTCCTTCACTTCTATATCCGTGCTCCGTATCCGTACCGTCCCGTAGGTCGACGCGCTCCGTATAGTACGGGGACGTAAATCATGAAGCAACTGAGTGGCTGAGTTGGCAAGCGAATTGTACGTAACACCACTCTTTGGTACCCCGCTTGATGCAATTCTATCTACGGGCCTGGTGCATGCCGATACCGTTGGATTTCACTGCCATGATGGGCCTGGCTGAGTTTTTAGGAGAGGGGATCAGACGACGGCCTCCGGATACTCAGGGCACACCGCCCTCTTTGCATCTAGCTGGATGCCGACCGAGGCGGTTTTTTTTTTTTTTTTGTCAGGCCAATCGTACTGAGCAAGCAGCGTGATATGGCTCTCGGCGGCAGACAATTTCTTTGGGCCTGCTTGTGGCCCGGCCTACCGCGTGGCACCAAGAAACTTTAAACTTTCCGTACTAAACCACGCATAGACGGTCGACCAGTCAGTGCTCCGTCGGATTGTCAGTGACACTGTACATTGTAGGGCTGAAGGGGAGGGGGAAAACCACGAGCAATAATCCTTCAAGGCCCCACCGATACCCGTGGCTTCTCATCCCCCTCCCCAAGTGCCAAACACTGCCCTGGAATTGCGACGTGCCGAGAACCGTCATCTGGACCGTTCTCTGGTCTTCGTTCTCACTTCGAAAACAAGTAGACTCATACGGAGTACTTGTTTTGGTCTTGGCGGGTGGGGTGGCTGATGGCGAAAATCGCCAGCCCCTGGGCTCCACGACCGACCACGATCATATTAAAAGAAAGTGGTCGCATCTCACCGCAACAAGACAGGAGCGAACCCTCGACGACGAAGCCAGCTTACTATTCATTGAGAGAATTTGACGCTCCTTCTTTTCACTTAATCTTCTCCATCCTACGGGCAGGCAGCACAAATCACTTCCCCCCTTCTCAAAGACTTGGATCTGCACCCACGATACGCCAGGCGCCAGGCACAAGCCACTTCAACGATCCAATCGCTCCCCGCTTCCCTTCCACGGGCAAGACAAACACAGACGAAAAAAAAAAAGAGGGACTTGGCTTGCGGCGGCGGCGCTTGTTCACTCATCAGCCACTAACTCAGCTAAGGTTGACACAATTGGCTGGTCCTGCCCAGCTTGCTCACGTAGGGGTATTTTGACGGTCTCAACCCATCATAACCGTGCACTGCAGCTTAAGCTGTTTGCTCTGCTGCCCTTGTTCGGCCTGCACGTTTGAAGTACTAAAAAAAATACCGTCTATCTGTCTTGGACGCGTCGACCCCCCCGAGCTTCTCTCCTCCTGCAACATCCCTCAACTCACCGCTCTACGAGACACAAGATCTCAATCGCAGAAAGCGTCAATTCAAACAGCTTTGTCGATTCCAAGCCTACCGATAAACGGACATACACACCTTTCTCCATGCAGAGTTCCTTGAGCCCCGAAGTCCCACCACCCCCGGGCAGCGTCCATAGCAATGGGTCGCCGAACAATCTCGGTATGGTCCCCGACCTGGATTCTCCCGCCGACCGCAACTCTCCCAACGCACCCTCTTCGGTGACTAGTGATTCCCGAACCCAAGGCCAAGCGCCCCCCGTCGCCGTTCCTGCGGCATGCCTCGCATGTGTAAGTTCCCGCTGTGCCCTTTCTCCACGCCGAGTCATCCACTCCCCAATTCGCCAACAGCGATTGGCCCTGCAGCCGCGTCTACCTATTCCAACCATTGCTGACCCCTACCCTTTCTTCCATAGCGAGGCAAGCATCTCAAATGCGACGGTCAGAATCCCTGCTCTCGATGTCAGACTTCGCAGTCCGAATGCGTATATGTCGCCTCCCGCCGCGGCTACAAGGGCCCACGAAGGAACACCGCCGCTAATCCCAATAAGAGAGCCCGATCGTCATCCCCTACATCTAGTATTGCTGTCGCTGATGGCTGTCCAATGCTTCTTGGCGCCAATGGTTCCTCGGCTGCCATGCAGAACCCCATAGCATCATTTAACTCTGGCATCGTCCTTCCGGACACGCCAAGCACGACATTTGCGGCGACCCCTAATCTCACAAATCTGCAGCTCTTGCGCTCATTCGGTGCCGCAACTGGCTTCAACTCGAACCATGTGGCTCTGGGTCAAACACAACCGGGATTCCAGGTGCCATTGCCAACCCTTGCTGAACGGTGCCTCGACTCATTCTATCACCACTTCCATGCCTCTCATCCGTTTGCTCTCCCTAAGGGATACCTTCTTCGGATAACGAGAGACACCAATGTGGAGCCTCTCCTGGCCGCCATGCGATGGATTGGCTCACTCTTCCTCGAAGTAGGGCCAGCCCGCGCCGGATTTCTGGATGAGGCATTACGCCTCGTGCAGGACCCCACTACCACCAGAGATGGTTTCTTTGTTCAAGCCTTGATTATCCTGATTGTCGGACTGGACGGGAGCTGTGATCAGGAAAAGGCTCGGAACCTGCTTGCCGACGCCGAGCGCGTTGCACTGGAGCTGGGCATGAACACTCGAGAGTATGCTACGCAATATGGCCGGGGAATTCCAATCCTGGAGGAGAGCTGGCGGCGAACTTGGTGGGACCTGTTCGTTGTAGACGGGATGGTGGCTGGAGTTCATCGCCAGACCAATTTCCTTCTCTTCGACGTCCCGGCTGACGCCGGTCTACCTTGTGAGGAACACCAATACCTTTCAGGAGTGAGTCATTGTTATCTGTAACGATTAGGCGCCACCGGTCCACGGCTAACATGTGCCAGAATATTCCCCCACCCATGAGTCTAGTAGACCTTGAAGACCAAGACTTCTCAGGAGACGATCGAGAGTTTTCCTCTTTCGCATATCGAATTCTGGCGGGACGCAACTTGGGCAAATTCATGCGTGTACCGCCAATCTTTGGCCCGGAGGACGAGAACCTGGCTCGCATCGAGGCCCTCCTGACAAACTGGAGGCTTCATCTACCTTCGACGAAGAGGGATGCATTGAACCAGAAGCTCCAATCGGACGAAATGATTTTCCAGGCAAACATGATGATTCACGCGTAAGCAACTATAGACGATTCTATGGCCTCATGAACTCAGAGATCTGACCCTTGGTACAGGACATCTATCATGCTGCACCAGCCACATTCGCAGCTCGACTCGTCTCCTGCTCGATCGGTCACATCCTGCGCACCGCACCGACCGGTTCCATCCGGGGATCTGTTCAATTCCCACACTAATCATACCATCACTTCAGCCGCTGAGATTAGCAAACTCATCACTCACCGTGTACCTCTGCTCTCTCATACGCACTTCTTTACCTGTGTGGTGACGCTATCCTCAATCGTACACCTGAGCAAGTGGGCCCTGTTCTTCATCCCACATGATGACGACGAGCTGCGACAGCAAATCCGGCTGAACATTGGCGCACTGAACAAGCTCTCATCAGTGTGGAAAGCGGCGGGAACGGCCTCAGGGCAGGTTAAAGGGGTTGCGCAGGAAATCTACCGCACAAAGAAGGCGTCGCAGATCAACCCGTCCTACTGGCAAGGCTTCACACAGGAAGAGGTGATTAACAGCATTGCTGCCGACGAGACGATCATGCATGACATCGAAACCGGGCTTGGATCTATACCAATGCCGAACCTCGATGGCCTCGAGCCCTAGGCGAGGCGTTTGTTGAAGAAAGTGAAATGGTGCGAGAGAGACGAAAGGCGGGCTTCTCAGATAACGTGGCATCGTTGTACTATTGTACGAATATATACCGGCTCGAAAACGGACATGTTGGGCGGGGCGCCTTGGTGGCGACCTGGGGTTTGGTTAATAGAGGTGAATGTCTGCCACAGGGTGGATTAAGATATGGGCGGCGACACTCTGGTCTTTTATATCTTCTCTTGTCACGACGGCCCCCTCACGGGGATCCACAAGCAATTTATTCAATCAACTATGATTTGGCATCGGGGTTCTCATCTGCTGATTCTGCATGAGTTTTCCACTTGCTCCTGGTTTAATCGGTGATATATATTGCCTCCACCAGTTTTGGGACGAGGGCAATTATTCCATCTTGGGTTGTCCCCGATGCAGAGCCATACGAGTACTGGGCAGTTCGAAGAAGCGTTGTGACTATGGAAGATAGCGGACCTAGGCTATCCATCTACCACGATGCTGCCCGCTATGTGACTGTATTGTGGCCAGCCTCACCTACGAGCTTTATGCAGCATCTCAAATGTCATTGTAAGTCATATTGAGGCTCCTGTTCACGTGCTACATCAATAGCCTCACCCGTCTCGACTTCCCTTGTTGGTCAGATGATGACTTTACAGCTTACCACTACGGCTTCCCCGGTGACGTTGTCCAGACAGCTGTCACTACCTTAAAATTCTTCACAACTCCGAAAGGCTTAGACATCTTAAATTTTTCGTATCTGGAATCGCCGACCGCACTGCAAACTTAGCATGTCATACCATGCATTGTGCTTCATCGGGGGGATCAGCTCCCCTGTTTAACGAGGGAACTCTTGTTTTCATTGGGCAAGCTATAGCCGAGTCGCCTTGCGAGGGGTCTCGGTATGACAGCCTAGCCTCATAGAATCAAGAGAAATTTTCAGGTTCCCCAGAAGAGCTGCAACAACCCTCCCCCCCTCTCCAAAGATTAATGGTTACACGTGCCCTCACAAGAAGGGGGGGAGTGGTGGTGAGTTGTGACACCGCCTGGCTGGAAGCAGGGTGGTATGCGAGTAAGCAGAAATGGGGCGCGGCGACCCCGTTTCGTTTCGGCGTCCAGTCGCTACTGACTTCGTCTGAAAGATGCCCGGCCACCCTCATCCTCGGGGATCAAAAAGAATGCTGACGCGTGGGTCCCTTACCCTTCCACCCCCGCAACCCCCGACTTTACTTCGTACCTCGGCCAGGTACAGGCGATGGTTGGTCCTCCCCGGCTCTCGGCAGACCATACACACACGGCGGAAGGGTAACATCGCTGCTGACGGAGCGGGCCATCGGGAGCCGCCCTAACTCGAACGGGCTTGGCATCCATGAACGCCTACCTGAGTACTAAATAGCCCGCCCGACTGGTTCGGACACCTCTACGATATACAGAGTATCTCTTTTTCTATCCCCCTCACTCTCCCTCCCGCTCCCGGGTATAATTCAACCGTCGGGAAATTTTACACCCATTCATCGGCCGGGGATCTTGTGGGACGCACATCGTTTTAGACGAGGCCGTATGTAGGGTCTGGCTGTGTTTGCCAGATTGGGCTGTGCCACAGACAATGTGACTACATGAGTGGTTGAAATAAGACGTAGAGATAGCCTACCTACTTCCTGCATACTGCTGCCCCTCCCCGGTGTTGTTCATGGGTGGTGGGGCACGTAAATTGGTCGCCGATTACATAGTACTGCTTACATGCCGAAGTGGATACCAGCACTAACACCAACACCAACTGCGGCCCGATAGCCTCAAATGCGGTGCCTGCAGATTCGGGCCTGGAGCTGTTGCTCCCACACGGCAGTCGGATTGTTCCAGGAGGGTTTAAATATAACAATGATCTAGTCCCTGCATTATGGGTGGTATTTTAGATCTCTTAGAATCCTCCTGTTTTTTTTTGTCTCTCTCTTTGTTTCTGTGACGTAAGAAAGCAAGCCCCAGCCACTTATACCGAAATATCTCGTATTTTTCACTGGTAAAGAAACAGGGCAATGCAGACGTCCCACAACGACTACCAAGGATTCAACTCGGAGCGAATCAATATGGCGACTCGGGAGGACGACGGAGTGACCTCATCTGATATAGAGATGATGGGAATCCCCGACGCCCATCTCCTCAACACCACCGTCAATAACATTTCATGGGAGGGCATCGAGGTTACTGTCAAGGACAGAGAGACCAAGGAGCCCAAGAGCATCGTTCACAATGTCGACGGTTTCGTGCAGGCCGGTATGAATTTTCCCCAATTGAAACCATCTTCTTAAACAATTTTAGTTACTAACACGGCTAAAGGCGAGATCTGCGCCCTCATGGGCCCCTCAGGCTGCGGCAAGACGACTCTTCTTAACGTCCTCGCCGGCCGCCCCACCAACGCTTCCAACGTCGAAGGTTCCGTGCTAGTCAACGGCGTGCGTGCCTCGCGTTCTGACTTCCGCCAAATCAGCTGCTTCGTCGAGCAAGAGGACGCCCTTATCGGGTCCCTCACCGTGCGAGAGACGCTGCTCTTCACGTCCCGCCTGTCGAGCACAAGCTCTCTGCCACTTAAGGAGCGTCTCGCTCGTATTGACGGTCTCTTGGCGTCTTTCGGTCTGACCGAGCAGGCCGACACCATCATCGGCACCCCGATCCGGAAGGGCATCTCCGGCGGCCAGAAGCGCCGTGTAGGCGTTGCGAGCCAGCTGATCACCAGTCCCAAGATCATGTTTCTGGACGAACCGACCAGTGGGTTGGATTCTGCGGCGAGTTACGAGGTGATTAGTTACCTCAAGACAGTCGCCAGCCGATGCAATGTATGTTCTATACCTGTCTGTTCTATTCTAGTCCTTCCTTACTGATACAAAGTCCAGCTCATCGTGATCGCCTCCATTCATCAACCTTCGACTTCAACCTTCAACCTCTTTGACAAGCTCCTTCTCTTGTCCGGTGGAAAGACGCACTACTTTGGCGCCGTCAGCAACGTCGGGTCTTACTACGAGACCATGGGCATGCCGATACCTATGCAGGTGAACCCGTCTGAGCACCTCCTTGAGCTCGTCAACATCGATTTCGCAAGAGATAAGCAACAGGCCGTTGCCCATCTGCAGGCCATGCACGAGAGCTGGGCCGAGTCAGGCCAGGCCAGGGATCTGAAGATTTCCATCGCCGACGCGCAGCAGAAGACCAACCCTGCCGTGCTGGGCGAGCTGGAGAAGAAGCCCGGCCTGCCGAGTTTGGTTATGACGCTTCTGCACCGAAGTTTCATCAAGAGCTACCGCGATGTTGTTGCCTACGGAATTCGATTTGCCATGTACACCGGTACGTCTTCCCTTTATCCTTGCTTTTGTTCACGAATACGCTGACTGGTGTTAGGTTTGGCCATCATGATGGGCACAGTCTGGGTCCGTCTGTCAACCGAACAAGAGTCCATCATCCCCTTGACCAACGCCATCGTAAGCCTCCCCCCCTAATTTAACCATAATCCTTTTCCCTGTCCGCAGGCTAACAAAACCTCTCCAAGTTCTTCGGTGGAGCCTTCATGTCCTTCATGGCCGTAGCCTACGTCCCAGCCTTCCTGGAAGACCGAAGCCAGTACGTCAAAGAGCACCAGAACGGGCTCTATGGCGCCACGGCCCTCCTCATCTCCAACTTCCTCATCGGCATCCCCTACCTCTTCCTCATCGCCCTCTTCTTCTCCGCAATCTCCTACTGGCTCTCCAACTTCCGCCCGACCGTCGTCGCATTCTTCACCTGGGTCCTCTGGCTCTTCCTCGACCTCTTGGCCGCCGAGAGCCTCGTGGTGCTCTTTACCTCGCTGTTCCCCAGCTTCGTCATCAGTCTCGCGCTCGTCGCTTTCGCAAACGGCCTGTGGATGTCCGTCAACGGCTTCATGGTCAGCCCCACCATCCTCAACTCCTTTTACAAATACGTCTTCCACTACTGGGACTACCAGAAGTACGTCTTCGAGGGCATGATGCACAACGAGTTCGCCGAGAGGATCTACTCGTGCGGCAAGTCGTGCCAGTGCATGTACCGCACCGCCCTCGAGAGCGAGTGCAAGATCGCCGGCCAGGGCGTGCTGGACACATACGGATACACCGAGAACCACTTTGGGAGGAACGTCGGAATCATGATTGGTATTATTGCCGGGTACAGGATCGCCGCGTGGATTGTGCTCAAGATCAAAAAGAACTGAGACGTGTGCGTGTGCGTGTGCCTGTCTCCCCCCCCCCCCCCCCCCCCCCCACTAGTCGGCTGGATGGGTCGGTTTTTAAAAATTTCAAAAGGTTTTGGGTTGCATATTTGTGTTCTGGTCTTCATCTGCTACAGTAGTAGTTTCTTGGTTTTTCGGTGTTTTGATAGTGTCTGTTGGGTATCACAGGACCGAGCAGGTGGGTGGTAGTAGATTGGGGGAGGAGGGAGGGGCCGCAAAAAGAAAACGGCGTCGGTTTTGGTTTATTCTGTAACGCAGCGTTAATGAAAAAGTGTGTTTATAACTTTTATGAAACTCCTCATGAAAAGAAATAAAAAAGCTGCGAAGGGCCTTGAGGCCCGATTGTCGTTGTGAGTTGGCCTTGAGGTTCGTACGGGCGTGGACGTTTCTGTACTCACTCACACCACCTTTCTTTACCCTGCCGATCCATTCGTTAGTCGCACTCAACATGAAGTGAAGTGAGGCCGGAGACAAGATGCACGACAGGCGTTCTGCAAGATGTATATATAGCGAAATATCGTAGGTGAACATGCTGATTGCACAGTGAAACCAAGTTCCCGAGTCGGTCGAAACATCACACGCCGACATCATCAGATATCGATCCAATCGCCATAAGTCGTGGACATGAAAAAGTTGCGTTAACTCCGTAGGCCCGGGTCGCATGATACATTGATATTACACGTCTGTACATAATACACTCGCAGCCATCTGCGCTGCAAACCTCCGATATCGATCAACGCCGGATACAGATAACCACACCCAACCGCCAAGCCTCCTTCGTCATCCTAACTTTTGTACAACCGGAGCGGACAAGATATATAAAGATAAAAGAAATGGTGCCGTCAAGGTAGATGATATAATACATAGATCCGCTTTTCTTCCTCTTACACTAGATTCTTGAGCTTGGTCCAGACCATCGGCCCTTTTCCTTCTGCCAAGGGAACTTGCTGCTTTTCGCCGCAAACTTTGTGCTAAACTTATTGCCCAGTGCATCTGCCACCGTCATGGTCTCCACGGGCATCAGCACAGCATCCGATTGGTACGGCAAGACGCTACGCTCCTTCTTCTTGGTGGCGCGTGGCTTCTTCTCCTCTTGCTCCTTGAGCGCCGCTCTCCTCTCCTTGAGCACGTTGCTCAGCTCCAGCTCGGTGCTGACAATTTGCGCCTTGAGGAGGTAAGGATCAGTAGACGCCGATCCCTCGAGGGTTTCCATAACCGGTGTGCGTGGGGTGTATTTGATGCCGTTGAGCTTCGGTGCATGTGACGGGTCCGGCACGATCGAGGGGTCGAGACGCGCCTCAGCACCCTTGGCGAGGAGTGCGACAATGTCGAGACTTTCGCCTGGTGGTATGGGGTCTTTGTGGCTCGGCGTGACGCAATCCATGTCGACCTCCTTACGGAGGACGTGATCGATGTCGATGGCCGAAAAGTATGCACAAGACTGTGGCAGGTCGTTGATGCCCACCTGCTGTGCAAACATGGCTCTGGTCCACAGGTTCGCCACCTGAAGCGCCATGGCCGCCCTGTACTTGTCGTGGTCCTTGACAAGGTATCGAATCTCGTCGTGGACGGTGATGGCGAGACGAGCGTCGATATTGAAGCGTCGCGTCAGATAATCCATGCCGACGATGAGGAGGTGGAGGTAGTCCACACCGGAGGACTGGATGGCCCAGTTAATGCGCGATGTGAGATAACCGTTCTGGTTGATGTAACGGCGCATCAACGCCTCGGTAATGCCTGCTCCAAGCACGAACGTTCTCGGCCGTTCCTGTGCGGCGAACTCTTCCAGTTTGTTGAACACAAATGACTCCGTTCCGCCACGCCAGAACGGTCGTTTGCTCAGGACCGACCTGTTGGTCTTTGTGCCCTTCGTCTTGGCGTACAGTCTGGCTGCTGTCTCGTTCGTCTCCTTTTCGGACAGGTTGGGGTTAAACTGTCGGAGCAGCTGGCCGGCAAACTTCAACCCAGCACCGTAAATACGACCGTAGTTGAAAACCTTGGCGTCGTTTCTCGTGATACCCAGGATGCTTGCCGTCCGGGAATGCAAATCTGTCCCGGCGGCCTTTGTGCCCTCCAGCGTCATGAAACCGATTGCATTTCCACCGTGGAGTTTAAACGTCGCATCTCCGACCAAACTTGCGATCCACAGCTCCTCCGAGTCGACATCAGCACCAACAAAGCTATAACCTGGTGGCGCCTTGACCATTGCCTTTAGCTCAGAACCAACTCTGTTCTTCTTCGCGTTGCTTGCGGTGAGCCACGTGTTCTCAACCGCTCTTCTCGTGATGGTGCCCATAGGTATCACTTGAGGCAGGATGTAGCCTTGGACATCTTCGGGCGCTTTTACCACAGCCTTGGACTTCTTGCCTCCCTTGCTCTTGCTAAATCCATTGGAGTCCACCTTGCCAGATATATCGTCGTCGTAGACCACCATCTGCGACATGATACGATCGCGGGCACTGATCCAGTACGAGCAGGAAGCGTTCATCTCTAAAGCCTGCTTCGCGTACGGGTACTGAGATGACAGAGTACCATTCTCGAAGTAGGAGAGATATCCTTTGGCGAGTGGGTTGACGCACCTTGCCTGAGGGCCGTCCTTGTGAGGTAGTTTGAAGAAGACGCCACCATCATTGAGCAATTCGGCATCCTTTTCCGAGTCTGAAAAATCACATGCAACCATTTGCTTCTTCTCGTAGTTTGATGCTTCGGCCTTGGTCACTCTGAACGTCCAGCCGTACTTCTCTGACCAGAACAAAGGGTGATTATCCCATGACATCTTCAGCAGCAGGGGTGCGATTCGAGTTCGTACTGAAAGGTTGATTGGCGAGTCGCTTTTTGGGAACAGGTCCTTATACCATTGCGGCATACCGGGTTTCTTCTGTCTCGCAGCCGGCCGGGGAGGATCATTCTTCTTCTTTCCCTTGACCATTTTGATTTCCTGACCGGACCAGTCCAACTGCTTCATCCATGGATCGTTACCCCATTGTTCAGGGTCACCCTTGATCTCCAGGGCCTTTTCGGTGAGACCGACCAACCGTTCCTGCACGGCGTCGGAGAGTTCACGATAGGTTGCTTCGGCATTAGAAATGTATGCGTCCCAGGTTTTGTTGACTGGCAAGATGACGGACGCCAGATGTCGCAGTGCCGCAAAGCTCACAGGATGAGGGCATGTATCCAAAAAGTTTGGAAAGACGATTTGATAAACGCGGTGGGTGATGGCCACATCAGCAGCACAATAGTCCAGTAAGCTGTCAAGACTTTCCAAGACGCCTTCACGATCAAGAGACCCAAAGTCATCGCGGACAGCCTTGTCGATTGTGACGTCGAGATGAAACTTGGCAACGTCCCTCAGCGAGTTGACCGAGCTTCGTTCAACCCACAATTCGGCTTCTTCCTGCCGTGCGCTATGGCTCAGAAGCTCAGCGAGTTGCACATCATCTGTCTGGCTTGTAACCTTCTCTCGTAGCTCCCGATTCTTTTTGTGCTTCATCCAGGTTGGTCTCTGCTGCGAGCACATGCCGTTGACAGCCACGTGAAGCGACATGGTATCCAAGAACTGGTTCCGGGTCTGCTTCACATCGTACTCTTCTAGTATCCTTGCTCGGTCATATCCGATGTTGTGTCCTACTATCACACGCTCTTTCGACGGGTCTCCAAGAGGAATAAGGTGCCGGTCGGACTCGGATTCGCCCAGGAGCCATGGCGATAGCCAGGCATACCAAGCCGTTGGGCTAGAGGCACAAGCCATAACTGCGAACGAACTCTCCTTCCACATGACCTCGGTATCAAAACACAACATCGATTCGTCGGGCGCGTCTACTGCTTCCGTCTTGCCGTCTGGATAATACTTTGTCCACCCGCTCCGGCGAACCCATTTCCGTGGCTTTGGGGGCGGCGTTGCCCGGGCGAACTGCTTAGCGAAAGAGAGATACGGCTCTGCACAATCTACCGCCAGCTTATAAAAGTGTTCGTCCAAGGTGCGGCCTTGAAGGTGGGGAAGATCGAAGGCGATAGGGTCGCTGTTGTCGGTATTCTTGCCAAGAAGATCGTGACGGCGCAAGTGGTCTTTCGCGAGATCAACGAGCTCTAGAGGCGGTGGGGTGTTGCCGTCGGGGAAAATTTGCTTGTATACATGGTCGCTGAGATGTTGAACGCCAATGTCATTGAAACGAGCTTGCGAAGGGACTGTGATGGTTAGCACATGAGGAGTAAAAGAACCGGGCGGGCGCATGTTCCTACCGCCTAAGTTGTGCTGTCGCTGTTCTGTATCGTTGGATGTGGTGGCGTCTGAAGCAATAACAGACTGCCACCGGGTATGGGAACGCCATGCAAGCCGACGAAAAGCATGGTGTCTGGCTAGGCGAACGAAGCTCGCAGTTGAACCCCTCAGGAGATGGGCTGCGAGTTGAACCATCCTCTTGGTCTATGTCGTAGCATAGCACGAGGAATTATATAACTGTGGCAGGCGCTTAGCCGTAAAGCATAGCCTTGGATAATGCGATGACTGCTGTACCCAAAGAGCAGACGGATGATGGCGATGGCGATGAGAATAGGAGAGGCGTCAAAAAAAACGAAAGCTGCCGTCACCACTCTGATAGGCGTCGCGATACGGGGCAGAAGAGGGGCGCGTTAGCTCTGGTCCCCAGGGCAAGGGTCATCAGCCAATCGGTGACCTTGTGATTCCTTACCTTACCTTGCACGCTCGCCTTGCGGTCTCCACAATTTAAGGGTCTCCAAGATGCTGCAATGTACGTACCGGGCCAATGACCTGGGCACCAGGCACTAACAGCTAGCATTGCTCGTCACTAAACGTCACATTTGAACCAATGACTTTAATGTGTCTGTCGTAGGAGCTTCCACTGGCGAAAATGCAGCTATTCATTATCAGCCTTCGACTTTCCACTCGCCAGAATTCTAGATCTGCCTATCCAGTTGACCTAGCAATGCACAACATTGAGTACATAATTAGAAGACACCAGAGTATATGGACCAAAAGCGTCCTAATATTATCGCAGTCAAACTTCACGCAAACCAGCGGATTGGTGTGGTTAATGGGAAGTAGCTTCGTTTGGAGTTTAAACCCCATACTCCCACTTTCTAACCAGATTGGTAAACTAAGCCTGTCAGCAGACCACCACTGCCCTCACTAATGCAATTGTCAATGTCTTCCACCCTTGAAGGAGGAACATACTCGAACGCATCCACTCACAAACCTCCATGGATCTCATTCCCTGATTAGATCAGAGCGTGTAGTGAATGGATAACGGTGGACCACGCAGTAGAATACTTTCAATGGAGGTTTAGATACTTGTGTAATTTTGATAAGTAATTTCAAATATGTATGGGTGACTGACTATTGAATGTTGCACATTAAGTCCCGTTGGTACTAATTTTTGAATCATACTTTAATCAGCACTGTGAGATATTGCATATAAGGTGGTTATCGTCTTCCACGGTCGTGAAGAGGACTGCCCCAGCCGCCCTCTTGCCGCTTTCCCCAGTGCAGCGGGATGTATAGAGCGGGGGCAAAGGTAGGAGAGATGATCAGCGATGTGACAACGATACGGAATCTTCATGACCAATGGCCGGGAAACTCAGTTGGACGCCCGATATGCCATTCTCCATTCACATTGCTGTAGAGGACCTGAAAGCTGGATTCACATCCAAGAGAATTAATTTTGGCCTGCTATTGAGACACAGTTCGAATTTGGCGGATATGTGACAGCACAGACGCCTCAGGTAAGACGAAAGAAATTGCTGCTTGCTTTTCCTGCTCTATTCTTCTTCCGTTAGACCGTAGTTTAGGCACTGCGCCGTCGTTGAATGATGCGATTGGAGAAAGGCAAATTGAACGGAGCACTGTAACCATATGTTCACAGTATGTCAACACGTAACCCTATAAACGGGAAACGGATGGGATGGGAAAAGTTCTGTGAACCACTGCAGGGAAGGAAAAGAAAAAAAAAAGGAAAGAAAAAGTTGAGTCTCGCCACCAACGACTCAGGCCTGCAGTCGCCGCTGCAGGTGATACTCCCTGTCCTTGTCGAAGTACCTGCTCACCTCGAAAAGCACTCGCTCTTAGTGGTCAGCAATCACAACTCCGGTGGGACAATCCCCGAATCCACGGCTAAACGCCGACACAAAGTCCGCGACACTGGATGTCCTACCGTCATCCCGCCTTTCGCCCTTCCTCGGGTTTCCTCCACTTCGCTTCGATCACGTAAACATGGGCAAGGATTCCTTTGTCGATTGTCGACCTCCCTTTCGTGGATGCTTGCAAGGTAATTAGATTTTCTTCTCTTTAACTGTATCAATACCCATCGCCCGCTGGCCGCAGAGGCTGTGTCCCTGAAGTTCAATCCCGCCATCCGCCCTGCAGAAGAGGATCGCTCGTGCCTCTTCTTACCTCCCATGCCGGGCTTCATCCCGTTTCTGCCCACGCCGCCGCTGCCGCAACCGACACGAGCCGCCTCATCTTCATCCTCTTCTCGACCTGTGAATAGCTTCCTCGGCGCTGACCGGGGTCCTCCAAGAGGCAGCAGCAGTCAGGCACCGATTGAACTTGACAGCGATTCAGAACCCACTTCAGCTTCAGGGCCCCAAACCGCCGCCGCCACAACTACCACCACTACTGCTACTTCTACCACCAACTCTCAACCTCTCCACCAAAATTCTGAACCACAACACCTCAATATTTGGAGTTGGGGCCTGTTGACGCCCGATAGCACACAACAACCCCAAGCCCTGCCTTCCTTTTCCGACTTATCTGCCAATCTGGATCTTGGATCTTTCGACGCAGCTACCTACTTTGGCGCTACTGCCGCCCCGCACACACCTGCCCGCGAGCCGAACAGCGACGATCTTCTATCCGCATTAATTGACGGGAACTTCTCCTCGCCCTCGTCATATCCGCAATCCTTAGGCAATCGACAGTCGAGCGGATACACGAACAGCTCGAGATCCCACAATCCGCTCCAGTGCCAGCCCTCGGGCACGTCACTTCGACCGAACAGTTTCGCCCAAAACAGCAGCGACTCGCCACACAACAACACCACTGCCACGTCGGCGGTGACAGCCCCCAGACGACCGACGCCTCACCCAAGTTACTTAGACGGCGAGATCGAGGAGTCCCTTTTCGTGAGTTCGGACAACGAGCCTGAGGACGCCATGCCTGTTCAGACTCGTCGAAGAGCGTCTACCATAATAAGCTCTGATCACGAGCCGGAGGAAGTTGTACCCCCGTCCACACGCAAGAGATCTGCGCCTTCCAACGCGCCATCAAGAGATACGCCCGCTTCGACCAAAAGACGGCGAACATCACAAGCCTCAGCCACGCGCAATCGGGTAACACCGAGTGCTTTGCATGCAACACCCCCAAAGGTCGAGGACGAAGATGACATTTTTGGCGACAAGGAGGCGTTGAAAGGAGAGGAAAAGGACGAGAAAGACGAAAACATCATCGACCTCGCGGCCTCTAACGAGGTGCCGCAGGAGATGCTTGTTCCAAAGGAGGACAAGAGAACTAAAATCTCGGCTTTTCAGTGTGTTATCTGCATGGACGATGTCACTGCTTTAACAGTTACACATTGTGGTATGTGGGAGATGAACCTGACTTGACTCCATTTTCTAACGCCGCACCTAGGCCATCTTTTTTGTTCCGAGTGTCTTCACTCTGCGCTAAACGTGGACGCCACGAAGAATAAGTGCCCAATATGCAGGCAAAAAATCGAGACCAAGGATCGGAGCGACTACACTTCGAAAACCAAGGGTTTCTGGCCCCTAGAGCTGAAGCTGATGACGGCAAGCCGTAAGGGCAAGCAACGAGCATGAGGACGCCGAGACATGAATGCGAGTTACAACACTCGCACCGAGACACAGATTTCCACAATCAGTAACGGAGACAGAGAGTGCCTCGGTACCGCCAACCGAGGTGATGTTGTTCAGAAACAACGGATAGAGGCAAGATTTATTTTATGACACACCGAATCAGGAAGGGTAGGAGGATTATGTGCTAGCATCACACGAAGGCATGAAAGGGAAGCAAACGCGGCGTGGCAACGGATCTTGAAAGCATTTTTACTGCATTGGGGATTGGGCGGAAGGAACGATTTTTTGTCATTTTGTTTTTCTTGTGATACCCGTTCGGCTAGCCTTTTGCACGAGGGAAAAGGGGACTATGGGGGGAGTAGTAACGTCAGGGTACCCGTGTCCCAGTCAGTATAGATGAAGAAGCATTGAGGCTTACAGAAGTGCGTTCCGCGGCAGCGTCTTTCCGCAGCAGTGTCTTTCTTGCACGTGGTCGGATCGTGGAGTATAACCCAGAAGTAGTATCGGAGAGGAAAGGTCCTGCCTGACTGGACGGACATCTCTCACAGGACCCTGCTCGCCATAAGGATATCGGACCAGTGTATGCCAGCCCCAAACGCGCTTGAGTTTTCGTAACTCTACAGTACTCTCTACTACTCGGTACATGTTCTCGTTTTTTTCTTCTTCTTCTCCTTCTTCTTCTTCTTAATCCCCTGGGAGACAGATTCTTTCTTGTTTTCCCCCGCCGAGATTAACGGTATGACAGTCGGTCCAGTTTCCGTTTCCCCTTTCCGGCCCCCATCCATCCACCTCTTCCCGAACGCCTGGTCTGTATGCACGGAACACAATCTCTACGCTTTAAACACATTTGTAAGAGTATTTCTTGACATCTTTTGTTTTTTGTCCGTCGGCTACTTCCTACTCCAACCATGTACACATTACCGGGTTCTCCATTTCCAGTGCTATTAGGTGAAAAGGACGGGACCTTGTTTCTTTGGCTCCGGCAGCACCTCGTTCTCAAACTGTTGAATATCGCACGTCAGCAAATTCTGGTCATTCAAATTTTTCAAGAGAAAAAGAGTGGTGTGGGTTCCATATTTACCTCCAAGAAGCCGGTTGCCGCAATCAGGACCATGAAGCCCTCGGCCAACTCCTCGATACGCTCCTCCAACACGTCCTCTCCTTCCACGGCGCCGATACCCGCGTTGCGCTTAAGGGTGTGCGTCACCAGCATGCGGTGCTCCGTTAGGAACCTCCGGCCTTGAAGGACGTTACTGGATCCCCGGCTGACGATGGCAGCGCTCACCACACGGGTTACCTTGGCGAGGAGCTCGTAGTGCTTCTCCAAGGCCTTGGGGTTCGTTGGGTCGATTTGCAGTTCAGGGTCCGCAGCGAAAAGTCCGGACGCCTCAATAGACCTGAATAGGTTCGCGTGGAGAATGTACTTGGCACCGGGCTTCGTCTGCGCTAGCTGCAGGAGCAGCGCGAACTTGGTCGCCACGTACGTCTCCTGTGCTGAGTTGCCGGTGTGGACAATCTCTGACCAGTCCTGCAGGATGGTGCGAAGGGAGTCGACGAGGATGCCAATGAAGTTGAGCCGGTTGAGTGTTTCGACAATGTGGGCGTCGTCCTCCTGTCGGCCGAGGTTGACCAGGGCGTTTAGAAGAATGAAGGCGGCTGTCTGGCACGCGGCGTCGCTACCGTAAGCATCGTCGCAGATGACGTTGATCAGTCTTTCGCCGTAAATCTGGATTGTCTTGATTGTCTTTTGACGGCCAGCGACAAGCAGACCCTGGTCCACCATACCAGTCAGGTAGCGGTAGCAGATGCTGTAGTAGACCGCGCGAAGGTCAGATGAGCCGGCCCACTTACCGATGGCCTGCAGGCAGATCTGGAAAAGCTGGTAAAGCTTGTCGCTGACGAGGCTGCCGATAGCTTGGCTCTCTCGGTCTAGCGAAGGCTTTGAGGTTAGATCGAGCTTGAAGAGGAGAACCTTGGCCAGCTTGGCGAGCTCCATTGCCTCTTCCGGTCGCTCGAATGCCGACGCTTCCAGGCCGGGCAGAATGGCCTGTAAAGCCTGTAGATAGAACGAGGCTTCCGTTGTCCCCTTGAACTCGTTCGACTCCACCATGACGAGCAGCAGGCTTGTCCACGTCTTGAGGACGCCCAAGCTTTGCGATGCTATCCGCTTTTGTCGGTTGGTGAAGATGAGGTAGTCAGTGATAGCAGCTTCCTCCCGTTCGAGGGTGGCGTAGTCCTGCGCCGTCAAGACGACACCATCATCTCTCCTCTCACTTCGCTTCAACAAGAGAATCTCCTTGGCACGGTCGATGTTGTATATGGCGTTTCCGTGGTCATCCTCTTCCAAGCATATCCTAAGGTCAAGTTCCTTGTAGAATTGAAGTGGAGGAAGTGACATATCCCAGGTGTCAGTGGGTAACAAAAAGTCGTACAGGTCGAATACTGTGGGTATCGTTATGGGCTCGTTGTTGTCGCCGACGATCTGTCCATTGAGGGCTTCAAAAATTCGCCTCTTCAGGGATGGCATCCGGCTTTGTGAGACGCTGCAGAGCTCCATGGAGATGTACTCTAAGCTCATGCTACGCAGTGCGAGGAAGTCAATCAGCGTTGGTGCGCCATCGGTCAGGGGGAATTGGGGGGTGTTGACGTCCTGTCCCTCCCACGGCAGCGCGGGCTGGATAATGACTTCGCGTAGCAGGAAGTGGAAGAGGACATCATTGTCCCTCAACTCGTCAATAACAAGGGGGGCTGATAAAGGCGACGTCCACAACACTCGCAGAATGCGCATGCATTTGCTCTTCAAAAAGATGAGCCACTGTCTCATACCCTGAGGGTCGCCGAACGGCGTTTCTAACAGAAGCCTCAGCATGCTGTGGAATAATGAGTTTCTGGATGCAAAGGATCCATCAGAGTCAACAGCCAGTGTGTCGAGGCCGCATTTAAATCCAAGAAGTAGGTGGGCAATCGTGGGCTTGTCTGGGCTTGCGGCCAAACAGCTGAAAATGAAATCGAGAATGTAGGATTTGGTGAGGTAAGTGGGTGATTCTGCTTCACGTCCGAGGTCCAATGGCGCCGTTAGCTCTGCCGCAAGAGAGCGCGAAATAGCCTCATGTTCTCCATTTGCCTCCATGGCAACAATTGCCTTGTTGCGGTGATTCTTACGACCAGGGCTAGATGACCATGCAGAAGTCATCTTGAAGGAAGCGGTCATCTTCTCGAGTAGCTTCAAGCAAGCTAGTGTCAAATCGGGATGGCCAAGTCCACAGTAGCTTCCGAGGTCGACCACAAGTCCAAGATGGCCAACCAAGCCGTCTTCAAAAGAGGCATAAGCGGCATTAGCTACAGGTGGCCGTCTATGATTGGACTGCATCTTAATGATCGGTCGTACAAGGTCAAGGAAGGTTGCCTGAAGATCCAAAACCTTGGTGATAACATCCACGGCTCTCAGGATACCCAAGATGACCGGGGAATCAGGGGTGGCGTTGCCAACGTCCACAGCATCTTGGTGAATGGTTTGATACAAGGAATTTATGACCTTGTCATTAAACATCCATTCCATAACACGAGCGAATGGGTGTAACTTGACGTAAGTTGCTAGATCCGTTGCCGCCATCGCAGAGTCAATGGGAATATTAGTCTCGTTCGCGATGACGATGAGATTTTCATTGAACGTCGCCAGACAGGTCGCCGCAAACTCAAGACAACTCAGACGGAGCATTCTCAGCTGGTTGGTGTCGTTGACTTCGTTAGCCTTGTTTGCAAAGACCTTGCCCAATACAGTATCCACATAAATCTCAATACCAGGCATGCGGTTGGCTGAGCCAAGGTTCTCGGGGAAAGGCAAACCATCATTGAGAGGGCTGCTGTCCTCTGGCGGTGTGATAAGTGCAATCAAGAGTTGAATGAACGCATGAGGCTCTTCAAAGCCATGACAAATATCATCACTGACGGTTTCCATGGACACAACCGGCGAGCTTTGAGGTGAACGATGTTGAGGAGGGGTCACGATGTAAGCCCCGTTCATCCAAGCCTCGAGACATTGCCACATAATGTTAGCTTCCTCCTGAGTCTTTCTCGTGATCAATGCACGCAGGGCCAGGAATGTACCTGCCCGCAGATCAGCGGGGACAGGGCTGCTGGCCAGCTGGAACAGCATCTCAACGAGATTGAAGCTTGGCTCTTTGAGGAGGAATTGCCGAGCGGTTTCGCTCTCGGAAGCAAGCTTAGTGATAAGTCGCAAGTAAGACTGCAGCATCATGGTAGATTCCGGCTCGGCCTCAGCCTGGTCGCTAGTAGGTCGACCTGGTCGGTATGTTGCCGAAACTTGCGGTGCCTGAGCCTTTTCTCTGATCTTATTCGAGAAGAACACAAGCTCCCTGAAGATTTGTTGCCAAGTAAGGGACTGCGATCTCCTCATCTTGCCAGACGCGTGGTGGCCCTCATCCAGCAAGAATTCGTGGGCGGCCGTGGCGCAGTCATCGTTGGAGGAGATGGCTTGCAGCATCTCACAGAAGGAACTGACTAGCGGCGTGGAAGCCCTTCGCGAAGCCCAGTGCATGAAACCCGCCAGGTTGCTGTCGGGGTCTGACCAGAAGTTCATCGCGGCGTCGGGCCGTCCCTCATACGCATACGCAATGATAACCAAGAACCGTTCCAAATCCAGGTCCTGTTCATGGCTCTGGCTAAGCTGCCGCTGCTCATCTTCTTCCACACGCAGCTTCCGCAAAACATCGGGAAGGTTAGAGATGAATGCGTCCACAAACACCTCCAGCTGTGTCATAAGGCATTGCTGGAAGAAATCGGAAAACTGAATCGATTCCGACGCCAATGGCGGTGCCTTACGTTGGAGCCAATTGCGCATCGTTATCCTTGAAGGGTCAACCCATTCTGGAGTTTTGACATCTGCAGCGATGGACAAGATAAAATCAAAGGCGCCATCCTTCAATGCCTCCAGAAACTGCTTTGATCTTTGTCTGTCCTCTACAACAGGTATCAGCGTTTTGAACTGCTCATTGATGGTAGATATCTTACCTTGATCTAGGTCGACGCCTTCTAGGCCGCCTAGTAATGAGTCGTCAAGATACCATCCGCTGTACTCCGACAACCACCAAGCCTTGACCGCCGCCTGAAGGTATACTAGGCGCCAGGGGCTCTCGTCTGTGATGAGCGGGTGAAGCTCTCTAGCCATGGCAAGGTTTGAGGCACCTTCAGTTGAGCCGAAAAGTGTTATGTATGCCCCCAAAGCAGGGAAAAGATGTGCTTTGGCTACGTTAGCGGCTGAACATAAGTCTTGGGACCCTGTCATACATACCCAGAAGAATATCGTACTTGTCAGCATTCTTCAAGTGCTGCAGGAACGTTTTGAAATCGCTAATTTCGGCCTCTCGCTTCTCGATTGCACGGCAGAGAATGATGGCGAGAAGCTCATGCTGCTGGTACAGGCTGACGCGAGAGAACTCGATTGTTTCCATCTCCTCAGGAACCTGACCTCCTCTTCCATTGATCAAAACAGCTGCCGCAGTTATCTTGTCGGCTATCTTTTGAAGCCACCCTCTCACGTCTTGCATGGCTGACAGGCATCTTGGTAGCAGCCTCTTCTGTGATGATGCGGTTTCACCCGGCAAATTTTGGAAGACGGTGGCGGACAGATACAACTGTACTCCGTTAAGAATTTCGGGATCGAAATCATCCTCGTCCAATCCGTCAATCTCAAACATCAAACGGACGCAGTCGAGGACATATTTGCGCTGCTGATGGATTCGTATTAACCCACATTCAAGCAGCGAGCGGCCAATGACCGCGGGGTCTTCTTCAGCTTCAAGAACATATCGTGCTGCTTCGATCTCGTTAATTTCAGCTTCGTCTGCGAGATTGAACACGATCTGCTGGAAATTTTCGTTGATTGAATATTCTTCTTCGTCGATCACGATCTTGCCTGGCGCATAGTGCTAGGTTAGTATACAAATTGGCGGGAACCATTGGCAAGCTGCAACCAACCGGATTTAACCTGATTTCGGCTCTTTTCGTCTCTTGGTGGTCGCTGCCATACTCTCTCAAGCTCTCTTTCGAATATAGCCTGGATAACTGGGTTGTCTAAGGAGTCGGCGCCTTCAGGGCGGCCGTCACGGACCGCAGCCAGGTCGCGGTGGAATGCCTGCAGCGCATCGAGGGTGGTTGGTTCGGCCATCGTAGGGAATTGGGCGCGCTATTGCATGGCCTCGGGGCCTGATCGTCTCATGGGCTTGAAAGAAGCCCGCGAAGCTGTCGCGTTGGCGAAGGGCGACGAATTTTGGGGCAAATTGTCCGATCGTAGATGTCTGCCCAGGTGACGGCTTTCGAGATTCTGGGAATTTTAGAGTGGACCGCTTCTGGAGGTACGACCAGGCTCCTCCACTAAGCCTTGCGGGAGGCGCGTGGTTGGCGGTGGTCGGTGCCTGTAATCGTCCAATCGATCGCGCCGTTCGTTGCTGTGAAAAGAAAATCCACCCGGGGCAAAGATGTTCCGGGCCAAAGTCAACAAACTGTAGTCATTTATGGAAGGTGGTGTGCTTTTTGCCGTAATACGACAGGGATTAGACACCTAAGGAAGAGCTCCTGGGAGCTAGGCTGGGTACCTCAAGTTACGTGAAGCTTGATCTCTGCTTTTTTTGAACCGGCTGGGCTACGGCGCGTCACGGTCTTACGTTGCGATTTAGAAGGAATACCTGCCTGCCAGCCCACATTCTCGCCTTGGTTTGCGCAAAGAAAAAACTGCCTGATTAAATCAAATGCCGTCTGCCTGAACAAATCGCAGTGTGCCTGCTCACCTTCTCCACCCTCCCGCGCCGCTTAACCTGGCCATTGTTAGTGTGGACTCACTCACCCCAGCGTCTGCCACTCTCGTCATCTGCCTCGACGTTGTCCACCAGTTGACCCCTTTGAAGCGCATGAAGACACCAGAAACTGTTCGGTAGCCAGGATGTGCATTGTAGAGCACTAGATTATGGCGCCCCCTAAAATGAAGACGGGGGAGGTGACCCTCAACGATGCCCTCGGTCAGTGACCTGCCACACAAGCCATAGGGCTTGACAAGCTAATATGTGGTGAAATACAGACTCGATAGAAAAAGGAACAATCAAGGAACGTGCGTCGGGTCTCGAAGACCTTATTTTTTTGCTAGACAAGAAGGGAAAGACAACAAATCTGTGAGTTTTACTCTCGTATATGATGAATATCTAGGATGAACCGCATGGTAAAGTCAAAACCAATATATTGACGGGTTGTCAAAGCGAGCGATGGTACATGCAAACTTTTAATATAGCAATGCCGATTACAATGCCAATAATGCCGGGAATGGCTTTAAAAGTAATACTAACAAACCCACAGGTCCATACTAGAAGATAAGCATTATCATCGCATATTCGAGGCCCTCTTCCGATGTGCCGTCACCGAAAAGCAGAGTTATTTCGGCAGCAAAAGGTCCACTGCTGCTTCTGCTGCCTCTAGACTTTCCAAATGTGCCGAAGCTCTTCGTCTCGTCGTCAACTATGGCGCTTCGAGACTCAAGCGAAAAACCCTCTTGGCCATGATTGATCATATCACCCAGACACTCCCCGGTCCTGATGGTGATCTTCTGGAGCCACTCCTCAAGGACTATGTCAAATCTCTTGTCGCCGTCTTAGAACACCAGCCCAACGGTGAGCACCTTGCTACGAAGGGTGCTGATAGGTGGTTCGCCTGCGTTGACTTCTGTACTGAGGCCATCGCGCGTTACCTGGATAATGCTGACAGAGATTCGGGCTCCCGTGCATCACCGGCCCCAGGTACAGCTTCGATTGGTTTCTCCACTGGTAGAAGCACCAATCCAAGTCAACGTCTACCGGGTCAAATATCCCGCGGCACTGTTCAAGATCTTCTTCACTGCCTCTACCTTCTCGTCCTCCCCCCGAATGCTCCGCTTCGAGAAAGGTCACGGGACTTATCCAAAACTCTGATACAAATATTACAAGTCCGCCATCTTGGCTTGGGTCCAGTTACACAGCTAGCATTCGCATCCATCAATGTCTTATTGACTGGAGTTCTAGTCGATGATCTTTCTCGAGCCAGCAATCTGACCAGGGATCTTGTGCCCCTAATCAGTCACTGGTGGCAAGCTCGAACAGTTTCTCAAGATGAGATGCTAAACTCTGTCAGAGACGAGATGCTCAAGACCATGATTTTGATTCGCTTACATCTCGAGCGCCTTGTCTATGATGACGAGAACGGCCATGTTCAGAAGGATGTCGAAGACCTAAGTGAAGCTCTTTGGCTAGAGTACTCTCGGCGAGACATTCGGTCACAGCTCCAAATGGATGATTTGACATTCGTTCCGCACCGGCTCCCGCAAGACTATTTCAATCTTGACCTTTTTGGCCTTCGGCCTCACAACCGTGATGGCGAGCGAAGGTGGGCTATTGTGCAAAGCATTGCTATTTTGGAACGAATTCTATGGAAAACGCATAAACAGCAAGGCTCGCAGTCACCAGAAGAACAGCCTCGGAAGAAGCGCAGAACGCATGGCCCGACAAGCCGACTTCAGGAAAAAATGCAGTCCCGCGGCCCGGCAGTGCAAAGAATGTCGATGCAACTGGTTCCATTTCTTCTAGATCTCGACACTTTCACCTCTGCAGAAGTCGCAGAGCTGTTACCGGATCTGACAACATTCGCCAGTGACAAGGACACAACAGTTGCGTCATGGGCCATGCTAGCTTGTGCATGGTAAGTAATGGCCTACATACACCCCTCAACCTGTCCGCTCCTCAGATCTCTTCTCCGCTTCGCACAGCCTGGACAATCCTCTGTTGTTGTTGTTTTTTTCTGCACCTAGCACCTCTTACTCTAGTTCTTTTACTCCTGATCATCAGTCACTCGTTTGCTACCATCACGTTACTGATTACCTCGCAGCTGTGCACTACGTTCAACCGAATCTGATGTTGCCACTTTGTGGAAGCACACATGGCAAATTGCTGTGCGAGCAGTTGGTCAGCCAAATACCTGTCGCGCCGCATGTGTTCTGCTGCACACAATCCTTGAAAGCAAACTTGTCCCATATCACAATATATCGGACGAAGTTAACAGCATCGTCACGACCGCCGACGTGAATGGCCCTGCCCTTTTAGTAGACTCCTCCATCATTCTCATGTTACATCTATTGTTTCTGCGAAATGTGAAGCTACCTAATGCTAGTCAGGCGACATGTCATCACATAATTCGTTGGGTTTTCCTGCGTTGGAATCCAGGTGGGTTGTTCTTGTTTGAGACCTTAATGGAGAGCTAACAATGTGTAGCCGACATGAGTTTTGCGTCTCAAAATTCGGTACATGCGCCAGTATCAGATTTGGTTAATCTAATTCGTGCATGTTGCGGCGCTGGGCTATTACCGCATCCTTCACAAGAAGCTGTGTCAGGGGGTCCAATATGCCAGACATGGAAAGAGCAATACCACTCATCAGGTTTGACGAGATATCTTTTGCTGCTAGAAGACCCGAAGCAAAGAAGATTGGTCTCCACGAGCTGCGGCCAAGCTATAGTGTCCACCGAATTGATCAAGGCTAGCGACTCGTCAACTTTTCATGCCTCGAAGAAACTGGTATTAGAACTTTTGTTCCCGAAAGTGGAGGAGCTGCAAGAGCTTTGTGACTCCTGGACTAAAAAAGGGTCAGAAGGTGGCATGCAAATCTCATCAGACAGGCTTCACAGCCTCTTTTCAGCCACTATTACTGGCACATTGCTTGTCTTTCAGCTCACAGATCTAAACTCTGGTCAGTCAAGAGATATCGAGTCAACCCTCCACAGACTCTGCGAGAGGAGCCTCAGCGTTGCTTTGGACTCGAGCGACAGCACCATTTTCTTCGAGGTTGTCTGCAAAATCATACGTCCTATTCTCCCTTCCTTGGACGCAGCAAGCATCAACACGTTGTTCAAAGAAAACCTCCCTCTTCTAAACTTAGTTGCGACTGTAGCCGGCACATCCCATGAGCGAACTCTACGCCAGTCATCCGGACAAAATCAGGACCTTATGGATCTAGACGATGACTTCGACTCCCAGGAGAGTAAAAAGAGCATTGCAATGAGACCGACAAATATTCCTCGTCTAAGCATACCAATGAGTTTGGACTCGACGGCGTTTCATCTTGACACTGTCCAGCGTATATACCTTCTCGAGTCGATGCATAGAGACAATGAACAAATTGGTCTTGTCCCTCAGGGCTTTCTGGACCAATTTTTGAGTCTCTCTCATGATGAATTCTTGATGTGTAATTCCTTGGCGACGGAACTATTCAGTTCTGACCTTGTGGTCGGTCCTGATGATGCACTTCGAGTAGTTGAAAAGCTCGGTGAGATTATCGGGGAGCTAGAGTATACGTGCTGCGAAGTGGCACACTCGACCAGTCTAGGCATTTTGGAGGGCCTCATACGGGTCTGGGTGGATGAGAAAAATGAGGTATCGACGTTCGTTGGAGATCTTTATGACTATTTTGTCAAAGCCTCTCTGCCAAACAACAGCCTATCCGCCGGGTCACAGATGTCCTTGGCGAGTTTACTATTTGCTTTACTGAAAATCAATCCTCAATATGGCACCAGTCTCGGCCTATCTTCATGTCGGACGACCTTGCTGTCTATCCTACAAGACGGCCCAATGGTTGTCAAGCACTTCATTGGGGCGGCCCTGCCAGATGTCTTTGGCATTTATGTCCTGAAAATGCATGATGACGTCTTTATAGATGTCCTGAACAGTCTACCCGCAGACCCAGAAGCTATTGAAGGTATTGCTTTTCGACTTTTCGCGTTGGCTCAACTCGCATGCCGTTGGCCTACACTTCTCAGAAGATGTACCTACCATATCTTCGAGACACCTGGAAAGATAATGCAGTCTACTAAATACGCCAAAAGGTGTCTTGAGAAAGTCTCCGAAGCTCTTCAGCTGGGTTCTCCTAGGGAGCTCTTTAACATATTCTGTCCTCAGCTTCTGTATACCTGGCTCGAGTTGAACGCCATCGAAGACATACCATTCGATATCTTCGGGTTCCCTAGCTTAAATTATTTACTCCGGGAAGCACAGGCCGAGACGACAGCTTTGGAGATTATGCGAGGGCGCTACGAAAGCGTACGGACCTTGTCTCAGAGGCTCGGTATATCTTCAACCGACATGACCAAGCAAGGCTTCACAAAGATTTTGGCGTACACCATCGCCCACGAAACAAGCATGTCTGGCTCTAAGAGCGACAGCGGCGACACATGGGTGCGGAAACTATTGGGCCGAGAATCATACTTGGACCACGTGTACCTCAACTTCGCAGACATTGTAGCATTACTGTTCAACCTATTCGATCAGGAAGATCCCATCGAGAAGTACCTGGCAAGAGATAACAATTTCCAATACGCCGCGGACAATTTGGAGGAAATGAAAAGTTTCTCCCAATCCACAACGATGTTACCGCCCAACCAACAACCAATGTTTAGGGCCAAATTTCTCTTGAAGGAACTGTTTTACCTGTGCAGTAAAACAGAATATGAACTTCAGTCGTTGTGGACGCCGGCACTGGTAGTAGCGGTGGCTAGAAAGCTTCTTAATACCGTCCATCCAGCTTTGGGCTCTCTTCACGCTTGCTCAGTCCTGCGAAAAGTCCGCGTGATTATATCCCTAGCCGGCTCTGTAGCGCTGGAAGGCTACCCTCTGGAGATGTTGCTCTCCTCTGTAAGGCCGTTCATTGTGGACTCTGAATGTGCAGACGATGCACTGGGTGTTAGTCGATACCTGATCTCTAGAGGAAACAGTCATATTCTGCAAACACCATCATTCCTTGCCGGATATGCGTTATCTACATTGGCTTCACTTAGGGTTTTCCTCGAGTCCAGCCAGTCCAGCACAACCCAAGAGAGCCAGTTCAAAGCAACCATGAGTAAAGCACAACAATTTCACACATGGTTCAGCAACTACTTGGCTAGCTACGTGTCGCCAAATTTTGCAGACGAACGTCAGAGACGAGCATTCCGGTCAATCACGCAATCTGCAACCAATATTCGATCGTCAGGAAACGCTGAGAGGGGAACACATGAGAGCACGTTACTTTTGGAAATTCTAAAGGACGGTGAGCGCGAGGAAAAGTTACTGAATGAAGCAGCTCGTGACCTAGCGCTTGGCATGCTTTGCGGGGATTTCGTGGTGCCTATTACAGGTAATCAGGATGTCGTTGAGGACGATGTTGATGCACTTCGTTACAGCGGTCTTGTTTGGAAAAGCTGCAACGCACTCGCTTTGAGCGAGGAGTACCTGGCCTGGGCAGGCCGCGTGGTAGGCAGGTCATTTGCTGCTTCTGGTGAGATTCAACCAGAATTGTTGGAAGAGTCTGAACTATCGCGGTACAATAAGCTTGCCCCTGGATCTAATGATTCTGAACAGGGGTTACTGAATCTACTGCAACAATTAACCCAGAGTAAGGACTCGGCTATTGCTGGTCTCGCAGAATCTGCCTTGAGAGCCGTTGTGTCAGAAGCAGCATCTCAAGGGGATGATGCTCTTCTTGTTGCTGCACAGAAAACGCTGAGCGAATCTCTTTGCTTGGCTTCAGCTTGGGGTCAATATCGCACTCCTCCTTCCGATTTCATCCTTTCGCAGAACATACCCGACTCCCAGGTGTTCTTCCGCGATCATGTCGAGAGCCCGGAATGGATTCAACAACTTGCAGTTCACCTTGCACAGTCTGTTTCTGAGTATATCATACTGAGTGCTTTGGTACCAATCCTTAAGAGCGTTAAGGGATTTGCGCAGGACTCATTCCCGTTCATCGTTCATCTAGCTCTGTACAGCCAGCTTGACAAACAACAAGTGATCAAGCGCAACTTGTCCGAAGCTACCAAGGAGTGGCTCAAAACTCGAGATTCATCCGCACGCACGAACCAAAAGCACCTGATCAACACGATCCTGTACCTGAGGACACAGAAACTACCTAATGAATCGTCAATCGCGGACCGTGCAATGTGGCTCGATGTCGATTTCAATTCGGCTGCCTCGGCCGCTTCACGCTGTGGCATGTATAAGACTGCTCTTCTCTTCACCGAAGTTGCCGTCTCACAAGCAACCCGATCATCCCGAAGATCGTCCGCAATCCGAGATGAAGATTCAACAGACGTTTTACTTTCTATATTCGAGAACATCGATGATCCCGATGCATATTACGGTCTGCCGCAGTCTTCGGATTTGTCCAGCGTTCTTGCTCGCCTGGAGTACGAGAAAGACGGATCCAAAACTTTGGCCTTCCGAGGGGCTCAATACCATAGCCATATTCGGAGTGGTGATCCTTCATTGCAGTCGGACAGCCAGTCTCTCATCAAGGCTCTAGGTACTCTGGGCCTAGCTGGCCTCTCGCATTCCCTGCAGCAAACACAGCAGGGCCATGATGGCGATGAGGACTCTCTCGAAAACATGTTTCAAACTGCTCGTCGGCTGGAAAGATGGAATCTTCCCGCGCCCGCCGCAGCCGACAATTATGCGGTAACAATCTATAAAGCCTACCAGAATATTCAGCAAGCTACAGACAAACTTACGATTCGAGGCGCCATATACGATGGCTTCAGTCAAACGATGCGCAACCTCATGAATCGCAGCTTGAATGCAGCTAAACTGAGACAACATCTTGGAGCCCTTGCGGTTTTGACAGAACTTGACGACGTCATAAACGTTGCTGACTTTTCAGAGTTGGAGGGTATGCTTACCAAGTTTGAAAAACGAAGTGAATGGATGAGACGTGGAAGGTACGTAAATTCCCATACAAGTTGCCACTACTCAGGTTGTGTCACCAACTCATTGGTCTAATCCACGGCTCATATTTGAGTACTCTGTCTTTATCGCGGTCGTTGCCACAGAACTAAGCTAAGTTGAATAGGTATGACGACGTTAGCCATTTGCTCTCCTGCCGCGAAACCACCTTGAGCTTGATGAGCCAACAGCCAAAACTCCGCCACGCCACTCTATGCACCGCCGAAGCAAGGCAAATAGAGATCCGCTGCATGCTGATGTCTTCTGGCATCTACCGCTTCCACCAGGCCACACAAGAGTCGCTAAACATATCGACATCACTCACGGACTTGATTGGGCCTTGCGAAGATCTGGGTTTGAAAGTTGATGCGGCGGTCAAAATTGAAGCTGCCAACTCCTTGTGGGATCATGGAGAAATGATTCACTCGATACGTATGCTTCAGGGCATTGATAATGATTCATCTCTCAAGAAGCAGACAATTTCTGTGAGCCGCTCAGATCTTCTATCCAAGATAGGTCATCAAGTTTCAGTTGCAAGACTGGAAAAGCCACATCACATTCAAAAGAACTACCTGGAGCCAGCCCTGAAGGAACTTAAGGGCAAGAGCCAAGGACAACAAGCTGGCCATGTCTTCCATCAGTTTGCTATGTTCTGCGATGAGCAATTATTAAATCAAGACAGTCTTGAGGACCTGGCCAGACTACAAAGCTTGAGAAAGGGCAAGAGCGATGAAGTGGCTCAGCTCCAAAGTCTCATGGCCAGCAGCCGCGATTCTCAGATGAAGAATAGGTACCAGTCTCATCTGAACCGTGCCAAGCAATGGTTGCAACTCGATGAGCAAGAGCTTCGGCGCGTTGAACAGACAAGGAGCGAGTTTGTGCGACTTAGTCTGGAAAACTATCTACTGTCCCTCATCGCGTCCGACGAACATAATAATGACGCCTTGCGTTTCACAGCTCTCTGGCTTGAACGTTCGGACGAGGATGCGACTAACGATGCCGTGAAAAAGCATCTTGACAAGGTGCCAACAAGAAAGTTTGCAACGTTGATGAACCAACTCTCATCCAGACTGCAGGACCAGGCAAACCCTTTCCAGAAGCTTCTAATTAACCTCGTGTACAACATCTGCGTTGATCATCCATATCACGGCATGTATCAGATTTGGTCCGGCACTAAGGTTAAGACGCGAAAGGAGGATCAAGTAGCAGTGTTGAGATTGAAGGCCACGGAGAAAGTTGCTGCCCTTCTACAGTCGAATAAGGCGGTAGCGTCTATCTGGCAAGCAGTTGATCGCACCAGCTCCTACTACCACCGACTAGCTGTTGATAGGGACAACGCCAAGTACAAGGCCGGGCATAAAATTGCACTGAAGGACGCGCACTCAGCCCAGTCGTTACTCAACGCGCTCATCAAGTACAAAATTCCTCCGCCAACCATGCAGCTTGAAGTGTCAGCGGACAAGGACTATTCGAACGTTCCGACTATAGCAAGACTGGAACCACAAATGTCCATTGCGTCTGGCGTTAGTGCACCAAAAATCATCACAGCTATTGGAACCGACGGAGAACGATATAGGCAATTGGTTAAGGGCGGAAACGACGATTTACGTCAAGACGCTATCATGGAACAGGTTTTCGCCGCGGTTTCATCCCTGCTGAAGTTGCACCGGTCTACACAACAAAGAAACCTTGGCATCAGAACGTACAAGGTTCTGCCCTTGACTTCAGCGTCTGGTCTCATTGAATTTGTCCCTAACACCATCCCACTACACGAGTTTCTGATGCCTGCACATGAGAGATACTTCCCTAAGGATCTCAAAGGATCTCAGTGCAGAAAGGAAATTTCCAATGCGCAGGGCAAGTCCACGGAAACTCGAATCAACGTCTACAAAAAAGTAACGGAACGATTCCATCCCGTCATGAAATACTTCTTCATGGAGCATTTTGTTGACCCTGATGAGTGGTTTGTCAAACGTTTGGCCTATACGCGTACAACAGCAGCGATATCTATGCTCGGCCATGTTCTCGGCTTGGGTGATCGGCACGGTCACAACATTCTCCTAGACCACAAAACAGGCGAGGTTGTCCACATCGATTTGGGTGTCGCATTTGAAATGGGGCGAGTGCTCCCTGTTCCAGAATTGGTGCCTTTCCGCCTCACGCGAGATATAGTGGATGGCATGGGAATAACTGGGACAGAAGGCGTCTTCCGTCGCTGCTGCGAATTTACTCTCCATGCTTTGCGCGAGGAGACCTATTCCATCATGACAATACTGGATGTGCTGCGTTACGATCCTTTGTATTCATGGTCAATAAGCCCGGTAAGACTCGCGAAACTGCAGGGCGGCCAAGACGATGGGGATGACGATGTGGACGATGACAGGAAAGGCAAGAAGGGCAATGTGAACGAGCCTTCTGAGGCGGATCGCGCTTTAGAGGTGGTTAGGAAGAAGTTATCGAAGACGCTGAGTGTGACGGCAACTGTAAACGACCTTATCAACCAGGCAACCGACATCAGTAATTTGGCCGTGCTATATTCGGGCTGGGCTGCATATGCATGAAGATACGCAGTGCAACAGAGAGGATCTTAGGCGAGGGACAGTGGGGACTGATACGAAAGAAGCAAGTTGCGCGAATGATACCCTTAGAAATAACAACGACAGAATCATTGGCTCCCTTAAAGTATTTTGATGATTTGGTTTCTTATCCCATCTTCCCCTACGTTTATTCTCCTTGCCTTGAAATGGGCTAAAACACGATTGCCGCCTACAGCTCCGTCTTGTTTCTACTTGATCTGCACGCAGTGTATGCTTCTACTGCTATTATTCGCTGTCTTCCCACCTCTCTTTCTCCTATCAGTTGCTGAGTTTCGGCCGGTGGGTTTCAAGCGGATAAAAGAATGTGTCAATTGCGTTATATCTCATCATCATGAATCCATGACTGAGACTTGGCTATCAACATCGCGCATGAATATGAATGCCAAAGATGGTATGGCCGAAAAACACATAATCTGTGAGAAATAATTCAGTTTTGCAGGGTTACTCAGAGATAAGTACGAGACCACAATGAATCCAGTCGTGTTCTATGAAGCAATACCCCTAGCAATGTAAACCACTTGGTCGTCGGCTTGTGCTCAGGTTAGACCGCATAAACGTGATGAAATTCGTGTTTTTTCCTCTTTCTTTTCTAATAAAATCACATTCCATACATCATATTCGAAAATTTCATGGATATGGCCGAATGACCGATACGAGACACCGAAACCCTCAGAAGGAGCGCAATGAACAAACATATGAAGAAGCCTATGCAAATGCGTATATCAGCACTACGGTAATAAGCGAGGACAAGGGCCCCAGTGGGTCTGGTGGGGTCCGTGTCTTATCTAATACCCGGTCGACGCGATAAGAGACGTACTTTAATGGATGATGTGAACGAGAGGATGGTGATTTGATAATGAAGCTGGGACGCATAGCTCCGCGTTTAACTCCGCGTTAACCTTCCCGCTACAGCGACCGCATTTACCGTATTCGAAACTCTTACAATCTTGCCACAACCAATAATTCTGCAACCACCCGACGACCAGCCCCTTTTGTAAGCTGGACGGCATTGAGTCAAGCCACCTCGGACAAAAGCCTGTACTCCCTATACCAATCCCCTCGATCCCAGAAAAGCAACCAGGTCTGCAACAGCTTAGGAAGAAGTTGTTGCAGGGCCACACGGTCCATGCCGTCGAATTCACCCCCAGTAGTCGAGGGAGCTTTGCCATCACGGGCGACGGGAAGGACAGGCGGAACAAGTTCAATTGCAGACTCGAACAGCCCTCAGCGGCGACGACCCCGCGTGGACTCGGACGTCTCGCGCTCTGGCTCAGTCGCCCCGCACCAGCAGCAGTCGCCGAGCAGACCCAGCCCGAAGCGCTTCAAGTTTGGCACTGAAGACCCTCCCAACCCAAATATGTCGACCAAGATGAAGGGGAAGCTCCCCGAGGTCATCGACCTTACCCAGTCCAACTCGTATCGACCATACACGGGCGCAAAGAAGCTGGTCATCAAGAATCTACGGCCGACAGCTAGGAATGAACAGCTGGAGCAGTATTACAAGCGGACGGAACAGGAACTCATTGATGCCCTGCAAGACATCTTTAACGGACGTAAACCGCAGTTGCCATTAGAGAGGCTATATCGAGCGGTCGAGGATATCTGCAGGCGCGGCAACAACAACGAGTTGCAGCTTTATGAGATACTGCGCCGGAAATGCGATGAGCACTTGACCAACAATGTGCTGCGGTCAATCAAGACGCATGGCGGAAGCACAAACGTTGATATGCTAAGGAGTGTATTGCAGCATTGGCGGGTTTGGAACAGTCAAATTGTGAGTTACAAGAGCGTCTTCATTTGTATGAACTTAAGCACTAACCTATACCGCCAGATGACAATTAGATCTACGTTCAGTTACCTCGACCGCACCTTCCTACTCAAGAACAAGAACTACTCTTCTATCAACGACATGACCATCAACCAATTCAGACGGATGACGTTCCCTACAAAAGAAGATGCAGATAGTTATTCACCTGGCGGCAGGGCGCTACGCGGAATATATGACTTGATCTCTTATGATCGCACCGGAGACGACCGATTTGATGCCGCCTTACTCAAGGACTCCGTCATGATGCTACACGTCTTCAATATCTACACAAAGCTTTTTGAGCCTCGTCTTATAGTTATCTCGGCAGAACATTTCCAGGATTTCGCAGAAGAACGAAGCTCATCAAACCTCAAAGAGTACATTCTCGCATGTGAAAGACTTTTAAAGAGAGAAGACTACAGGTGTAACGAGTACAATTTGGATTCGACAACAAAGAAACAGTTACTCGATGCGGCGCATGGTATTCTAGTCAATAACTATTCTGACAAACTGCTGAACGCCGAGAGTCTCGCGAAGCTTTTGGCCGAAAACGAAGTGGAATCGATGAAAGCACTTTACGATTTGTTACGCCTATCAGGGATCCAGAAGAAGCTCAGGGAGCCTTGGAGTGCATATATTCGAAAAACCGGTGCAGCTATCGTTGCCGACAAGGAGCAAGGCGACGACATGGTGCGAAGGCTACTCGAGCTTAAGAGGTCATTAAGTCTCATCGTTCGGGATTCCTACGGTGGAGACTCTGACTTTGTGAATGAGCTCAAGAATGCCTTTGGCGACTTCATGAACGATCGCACCATTGCGGCCACTTGGAGCTCTGGCACATCCAAAGTGGGAGAGATGATTGCGAAGTACGTTGACATGCTGCTCCGTGGTGGTCTAAAGGCGCTTCCAAAGGCATTACTATCAGACAACAAAGACCGCGCGGAAGCAGAACGGAGCGGTCAGGCCAGCACCGGCGATGAAGATGCCGAACTTGATCGACAATTAGACCAAGCATTGGAGCTGTTCCGTTTCATCGAAGGCAAGGACGCCTTTGAAGCTTTCTACAAGAAAGATCTGGCCCGTCGTTTACTCATGGGCAGAAGCGCTAGCCAGGATGCTGAAAGGAACATGCTCAGGAAACTGAGAGAAGAGTGTGGTACCAACTTTACACACAACCTGGAACAAATGTTCAAGGACGTTGAAGTAGCGAAGGAGGAAATGGAGGCGTATAAGCAGTGGTCAGAGGGCACTGGCGCTGATAAGGCACCAGTAGACTTGCAAGTCATGATCTTGTCTGCTGCAGCATGGCCAACATACCCCGATGTCAGAGTCAACTTGCCTGACGACGTCGCCAAGCAGATTGAGCGGTTCGACCAGTACTACAAGAATAAGCATACTGGTAGGCTCCTCAATTGGAAACATGCACTGGCGCACTGCACAGTCAAGGCCAAATTTCCCAAGGGTACAAAAGAGCTTCTGGTCAGCGCATACCAAGCTATCGTTTTAGTTTTGTTCAACGATGCTGGGCTTGACGGCTTCCTTTCTTACGATCAGATTGCTCGCTCCACGAATCTCCAAGGAGACGAGCTGTCACGGACACTGCAGTCCCTTGCATGCGGTCAAGTCCGAGTACTAACAAAGCACCCCAAGGGCAAGGATATCAACCAAGGAGACACGTTTACAATCAACAAGGCGTTTTCGCACGCTAAGATTAGGATCAAGATCAACCAGATCCAGCTTAAGGAAACCAAGGAAGAAAACAAGGCGACTCATGAGAGGATCACCCAGGATAGAAGATTTGAGACCCAGGCAGCCATTGTCAGAATTATGAAGAGCCGAAAGGCGATGAGCCATGGCGAGTTAGTGGCAGAGGTCATCAACATGACCAAGAACCGAGGTGCCGTCGATGCGGCGCAGATTAAGAAGGAGATTGAGAAGTAAGTCAACATCTCGCCCACGCATTCAACTCGTACTAATTATTTAAATAGCTTGATCGATAAAGACTATTTGGAGCGCGAGGGCAACACGTATACTTACCTGGCGTAGAAAAACGCCTCGGTATTAGCTTGCTGCTTGCATTAAATTCAGAGTCGCGGAGTGCAGATACGGCGAGGTGGGGTCATGTGGCTGCACGGCGAAAGGCGCCAATGTGTATGAAGTTAATGAGACGGTTACTTCCATGAGGTAAACAGGTGCTGGGTAACAGAGGACTGCCAGACTTTCTGGAGAAACCAATAGTTTTCACTCGTAGATAGTAAATTGCACTATCCAGCAGGCATTCTTGAGTCGGTGAGGCTTCGGTGAATATTTATGGGTCCTTATCGGTCCCTGCGGAAAATCATTGGACCTAGCGCATTGCGGGGTGAAAAAAAGTTGCGGCGGTCCCTCTGCGCCTAGCCAAAATTTCCAGAAATTTGTGCCAAAGGCGGTCGGCGCGAAATCTTTCCCAGCAGTCCCCGAACCTGGACGACTTTTGGATCCTACCCTCGACCGTTTTTTTAAATCCCTTTCGAGGCAGAACTCTTGCACTTGAACCAGAGTCGAGTTGGCCAACAAATTCGTCCTTTTTCAACCCAATTGTAACTGAACCAAAGCAAAGAAGAAAAGAAAAGGAAAAATAAACCGCCAAGATGCCTAAGTCGAAGCGCAACAGACTTGTGAACCTGACCCAGGTCAACAAGAAGACGCGCGAGCAAAAGGACAAGCTCTTCGCCAACATCCGCGAAACTGTCCCCCAGTTCCAGCACTGCTTCGTCTTTGGAGTCAACAACATGCGCAACAACTACCTCAAGGAGGTCCGTCACGAGCTGAACGACTGCAGGTGCGTTACCTCTCTCTTATTCTTTGCCCTCCAGAAAAGTCCTAGGATGGTCATGGCGCTGTTGCGATCGCTCATGATAGAGATTCTAGTGGTTACTTCAGACTTGAACTGGACTAACAAATAGCTGCACAGACTTTTCTTCGGCAAGACAAAACTCATGGCCAAGGCTCTCGGCCAGGACCCCTCCTCCGCCGTCGCTGATGGCATCGAGCGCCTCACCCCCTTCCTCTCCGGCACCGTCGGCCTCCTCTTCACCAACCGCGACCCCAAATCCGTTCTTGAGTACTTTGAGGGCGTTTCCCCCGTCGATTTCGCTCGCGCCGGCACCGTTGCCACCCGCGACTTCACCATCCCCCCCGGTGTCGTCTACGCCACTGGCGGCGAGGTCCCCGCCGAGCACGATGTGCCCATGGAGCACAGCATCGAGCCCGAGTTGCGTCGCCTCGGCATGCCCACGCGCATGATCAAGGGCCGCGTCTGCCTCGGTGACGCCGACGGCTCCTCCGGCGAGGGTTACACTGTTTGCCGCGAGGGCGATACTCTGGACAGCCGACAGACGAGATTGTTGAAGCTTTTCGGCATCTGCTTGAGCGAGTTCAAGGTTCAGGTTCTGGCGTATGTTTTACCATTCTCTCATTCTCCGCCATGCTGCAGAATTCTGATTACTGACATGCGCATAGATACTGGAGCTCCGCGTCAGGCGAGGTGACAGAGGTGAACCCCAACGCCATGGACGGCGTCGAGGATGACAGCGAGTAAATCGTATCTCCTCGGGGTATGCACAACAAAAGGATGACCAACAAAAAAACACACAAAATAGCTTCTAGACTTGATGATTGCTTCTTCATGTAGGCTGATACCATCATGGATTGCGAGGGGTGGACAACAAAAACAAATCACGGCGTTCGGGCGGTTTTTTAGAGAAATTTTCGGTCATGCGTCGGGCATCTTTCACAATCTTTGAATCCCTCTCTTCCGAGGGGTACTTTTATTTCGTACGCATAGGAATTCAGACGTGTACGCTTTTTCCGCGGCGATGGAGCGTACTTGAACAAGCCAAAAAAAAAAAGGAAAAGAAAAAGGCTACGTACGACCTGTCTGTCTAGAAAACGAGAGGTCCTCACCTATTCGTACAAGTAATTATAACGCGTTACATGCGGGTTTACCCTATTTTCTTTTATGATCCATTTGTGTCTCCATACTAAGCTCCAGGTCAGTAGGCACGGAGTCCCTTACCTCTGACCTTACCTGCAGCGCCGGTGAACCGTTAAAGTAATCTTGATTGTTCGAGCTCGGACCGAACAGGTGATATGAGACACGCAGAAAGGTTACCTTCAATACAGTGTCGCAGTAAGCCGATGCCCATGACTGTCTCGATGTTGCGTTGAAGGAGACACGAGTGCCTAGAAATGCTGTGGTGGCCGATACATACGTTCGGTTCTAACGCCTCATAATCCTAGGATGATGAATCTTGACTGTGCTTGACATCTTCGGCTTACCCTCGATGTAGAAAGGGAAGGAGAAAAGAGACGAAAGGATAAGACGAGCGAGTTTGTCACCCACCGCAAGACACTTTGTGTCTCGTCAGTAACGACGCAGCTTCCTGGGGTCCTCGTAGCCGCCGCCATCGTAGCCTCGTTTCCTGTTGTCGTCGTCGCGAGGTCTGTCGAAATCCCTTTCTCTGTGGCTGTCACGGTCTCTGTCCCGGTCTCTGTCGCCTCGGTCACCGCGATACCCACCTTCTCCTCTGGGTCTGATTGGCTCCATGTTGCTTCCGGTCCTTCGGCCTCCGTCGCGGTCACGGTCTCTATCGCGGTCACCGCCATAGCGGTCGCCGTAACGGCCGCCAGATCTGTCGTCAAATGAGCGGCCGCCTCCACGGTCAAATCCACCACCAGAGAAGTTGCGGTCGCCTCCATGGCCGCGACCGGGACCTGAAGGTGCATCCCTGGGGGCGCCATATCCATTAGGACCACCGCGATCACCACCGCGGTCACCACCACGGTCACCACCACGAGAGCCAAAGTCGCCGCCTCCACGGAATCCTCCACGGCCGCCGAAGCCTCCCCTGAAGCCACCGCGGCCGCGTCCTCCTTCGAAGCCGCCACGGAAACCTCCTCGGAAACCACCACCAAAACCGCCGCCGGGTCCGCCCATAGGCCTCGCAGGCAGAGCCTTGGTGTAACCTCTTCCTCCGAGACCGCCACCGAGCCGGCGAGGAACCCAACCTTTGACGGTACGGCCTCGTTCGACGTCTACCTTGATACGTCGATCCTTGATTCGAATACCATCGCAGGCTTCTAGAGCAGCTACTCACCAATGCGCCAAGGCGCTTGTGTCAGTTAAACCTTACCAATATCATACCTTGGCATCAAGAAACGGATTAAAGAGAAAAGAAAACAAGATTGTGAGACGGGCAAGCTTGAGGGCCACAGATCTCGGTGTGTAAAGCAGGACGAGGGCGAGCCTGAGGGCCACAAGCCTGAAAGGGGAATGACTGGCTGGCAAGCCGAGCTTCATCAAAGGGGTTTCGGCGGTATTACCTCTCATATCTTTCTCACGTTCAAACACGACGAAAGCATAGCCACGATGGGGCTTTTTCTTCTTTCTGGGCTTCTCATGAGCATGAGTGTCAGCGATGATACGGATCTGTTGCAGTGTTAGCCTGATTAATAGACAGCGATGGGATAGGAACACGCACGCGCTCAATGGGGCCGAAGCGGCCAAACTCCCGCTCGAGGTCCTGTTCGTTGGCCTCGTATGAGAGTCGTGCGACGATTAGCGTCTTGAAAGCATCGCCTCGGATGTTGGGGTCCTCGTGAGGTTTGACTAGATAACCATCAAGTTAGCAAAATTTCGTGACGGATGTTGTGTTGGGAAACTAACAGTTCCTGGGTCCCTCGGTCTTGAGCTTCTCCACTGCAGCTTGCTTCTCGAGCTTCTTTCGGTCGCGCATCTGCAGCCAGCTCTCCGTCGGTTTGTAATCATCTGTCTCCTTGTATGTCTGCAGCGCAGGGAGGAATTCGGCGACGCCAGATACAGGCAGTGTCTTTCGCTTCTCAGGCGCATGGTCGGGCGGCGCAACCCATCGCAGAGGTGGACGCGGCGCGAAGAGCGCCAGCAGGTTAGGAGGGAGCTTGTCCGTCATTGCGAATGACTTTTTGCTTCAATACCCCGGTATCGTACGTCTCCTCTAGCTCCAATCAATTCCCAAAATGTCGCTCAGCTAGAAGTATTGCATTCGACCGTCGTGGAATGGACTTTGGGAAAGGGCTGTCGCGTCGGATTGGAAATTGACACAAGAGAGCAGGGGAAATCTTGTGGTGCAGCCTGGCCTGGTAGGCCCCATCCAGATCATCCGCAGTTCAACCGGCCAATCCTGGGTGGACGAAGATGCAAGGACCTGGGGTACGTACCGAAGCTTGGAGTCGGCCGGAACATCTTTGCGCTAAGAAATTTCCCGTCTTGTGGCTGTAGGAAGGAGCTTCTCGCGACCCGAACAGCAATTGGACTTGGGCCAGGCAAACACAATGACGATCAAGGCATTGAAGACGGTGTCTAAGGGCCAGGTAAGGAGTCTCCGGCGCGATTGCTACGCGACTATTACTGACGAACCAGCAGAATGGCCTTGGTGCATTCATCCTCCAATGCAAGAGGCTAGACTTTCACTATTGCGACTGGGCCGGCAGCTCTAAGGGCATGAAGTAGGCAGCATCCCAAGTAACGGTGCTTCGAACTATTCTCTGACATTGTACTACAGCGGCTTCATCAAGTCTCAGCTTCCCAAATTCGCGAAGGCCAACCCTCAGGTCGAGTTCTCCGTCTCCCCTCGTCCATCGAAACACCCCATGATTGTCGGCCACTACATCAACGGAAAGGAGAAGTCTGTCTGCGTACGAAACATGGAGCCCCTCGAGATTCTTAAGAAGGCTGAGCTTCTTCGTGACGCTAGCGGAGAAAAGTTGAAGAGGACCAACAAGCCGGTGACGAGCATCAACCCCAGTGTCAGAGGCGTATGGTCTCCTTACCACGGCAACGGCATGGCTGTATAGTACGAGACGATATTGGCACAATTTATTTAGAAAGCATGTAAAATTACGATCAGGGCAAGGCGTGTATAAGGAGGAAACAACAGCATGGCATCTTTGATGCTTGTACCATATGTCACCCGCCAGGGAAGGGTGGTGTGCCCCTTTAAGCACTCAAAATACAAAAAAATCTCAACATTCATAGGACGTTTATAACTGCAAACGCATTGTGTTGGGGTATTCAAAGTTTTATTTTATTTTCTACCGCCTCAGGAGCTACCAAAGATAGTGCCTTTTTTGGGCGTTTCCTGGGCTTCGTAGGCCAATATCAGGCCATTTTTAGCGGTCATCATCATCAAGTATGTGCTATTTAGGGGTTTACTGTCTGGCGTTGATAATGTCGACGACTATTGTTTGTTAGTATTCACACTCTGGACTACCAGTTTGGGGGGGATGCTTACAGCCAGGCTTCAAGCTGGCACCGCCAACAAGGAAGCCGTCAATGTCGTTCTCCTTGGCCAGGTCCTTGCAGTTCTTCTCGTTGACACTGCCGCCGTACAGGATGCGGGTCTCCTCAGCAACCTTGTCGCTGACGTTCTTAGCGAGCCAGGAGCGGATGGCGGCGTGAACGTCCTGGGCCTGGGCAGTGGTGGCGACCTTGCCAGTACCGATGGCCCAGATGGGCTCGTAGGCAATGACAATCTTGGACCAGTCGGAAACCTCAGCCTTGAGGGCGGCCAGCTGCTTGCTGACAACGTCAACGGTGGTACCAGCCTCACGCTCCTCGAGGCTCTCGCCGCAGCACCAGATGGCGCCAACACCGTTCTCAGTGGCGTACTTGGTCTTGGAGGCGACAACGGCGTCCGACTCCTTCAGGATAGTGCGGCGCTCAGAGTGGCCGAGAATGGCCCAGTTGATGTTGTTGTCCTTGAGCTGGGAAACGGAGATCTCACCAGTGAAGGCACCGTCGGGCTTGTCGAAAACGTTCTGGGCAGCGACCTCGATGTCCTTGCGGAGAGACTCGCGGACGAGCTGGAGGTAGATGGCAGGAGGGGAGACGACAACCTCTGCAGGTAAATTGTCAGTCGCATTCTTTTCGTCTGCGGTCCATCATGGGGATTATGACGACGAGAAGCACATACCAGTGTTGGGGTCAAGAGTGGCGCCGTTCAGGTTCTTGACAATCTCCTTGATGGACGACTTGGTGCCGTTCCTATAAGGAAAAGACGTCAGTTCAGTGTGTGATGTTTTGGCTGGAGCCGGAGCTTCCATTCCCCCTCTTTCATTTCTCCCGAATGGTGTGCATGCAAAGATCATGGACTCCGCCAAAGGACCGACTTACATCTTGAAGTTGCCGCCGACGAAGAACTTGCGAGCCATGATGGGCAATTGATAGTATCTGGTAGTTCGAAGGGAAATGGTGTAGCTTAGGGAATGAGTGTCAGTTCAGGAGAATAGATCAAGACTGGATGTAAATGACGCAGGACAGGTTTTGAGCGGTAGCTTGGTCGTAGTAGTAAAAAGACCTCAGGGTTGGGTCACGTCAAAAGCTCCAGCGCGAGGTGGGCTGCGCTTTGTCTCATGGAGGGGCAGAGGGGCTTGCGCAGCGCAGGAGGGGCATGGGCCCGCTATCGCAGCACCTCACAGTGCTTACAGCACAGAATCATCAGTTTTGGTGGGGCTGCCAGCGGCTCCGGTCTGGTCCGGAGCCCTGCAGCTTGCCCCGCACTCAACCTCAGTAGGTAGTGACCTGAGGAGCTCTCTGCCGTGGGCTGAGACCGTCCTCCAACAACCTGTGCCACTCAACAGTTTTCGTGCCCAGTCGGACCAGCTGTGCTTCCCTTCATCCTGGATGCCGAGCCTGTGTTTTCCAACCCAATCGGATGTCTTAATTCCGCTTTCGATGTTCAGATCAACGGTCGTCTAGTAAAACAGCACATGGCCAGGTTGGGACTAGATTACATCCCTGAACCAAGACATCTAGATGTTCGACTCCGTCCATCATGAGGAAGACTAACCGCCATAAGTCTCATTCGAATCACCGGTGATTTCATCTGCGTATTCTGCGATGGATTTAAGCAGCTCATGAGGCTTGCGGACTATCTGTATCTCAATACTGCCAAGATACAATCGTTCGGGCATTGCCACTACCGTTGCATTTCTGTGAGGTAAAGGCTTCGGGCCATTCGCTCTTGAACCCTGTTTCTCCCGATTATACGGCTACCTTATTTCCAACTTCATCAAACCTCGGCAATGACAACAAACATAACTCAGGATATGTATTCCGCGGAGGGGGAAGGTCAGTAACATTAGTACACTATACCACTTCGTCAACTTTGTTCACATCAACTGCTTGGTGTACTCCACGACTAGTTTAGTGTGTTGTATGTCAGCAGCGCCAGTCATGGTTTTCCACAATGGTATTAAAGTTGGCGCTTCATGCTGCGTAGATGATCCAGTTTGCACAATTACAATTTATTCGCGCACATCTTCCCATATAAGCAATAAAGATACGCTATTGTCCTCTTAGTTGTTATTGTGCCATACACTTCCGCTCTCCAAAAGAAAACCAAAGTCGAATATCACTGTAGGTAAGTCAAATAAACATGAATTCATTCTTTAGGCCTTCTCTGAAGCCTCGGATCCAGGTGCCTTAGAATTCAAGGTCACGTAAACAAGATTAGCCAGGGGAATCTGGGAGATGGCGTACACTTTACCCTTTCTGACATCTGGTAGTCGTGACATTCTATGTGATACCATTGTAGGACTAACTATTCAATAAGAAACATTGAAGCCGCCTAGGAGGTTGAAAATTTTCTCCTTCCCTTGCATGTCATCAGACTTCATACCTAAGGAAAGAAAGTTGGGGGGGCGTTGATTGCCGCGTAACTGTCATCCTGTACAGAGCCCATGCTCTCGGGACACAGATATCTTAGCTGATTCGCATTGAGCATCTCTTCAGCTTCGTATACGTAGTACTGTTTCGGACGATCCGGGGAAAAAGAAAAGAGACGAGAAAGCATGGGCCTTCCCTATAGCCGTGTTTTCCCTTCACAATTGCTACGGTATTTCTGAATGTTCTTTATCCGGTTAGATGGGTCTTAGCATGGACCAGCACGCAGATGATCGATGCCCTGTGATCCACCATCGTTGATCTCGATTCATTTCAATTAAAGTCATGCACGGCTGCAAGGTCGTCGCATTCACTTTTGAGAGACGAAGAGGAGCCAATGAGGTCAATATCTATTCGTTGTCCGCTGGCGGGGATTTTGAAGATTCAACATTGATACCTCATGGCGACTCTTGGTATTTTTGTTACAGGTCTTCTGCATTACGATCTATGCATCTATCTCTTACTCATTACGTTAGTATTCAGAACTGCTGGTAATGTTCCTCTAGTACAACGTTGAATATCGTAATCATTCACGTCAAACGGTGGGTTGCTGGTACCTCACTTAAGCGATGATTGTACCGCGAATAGCATCTCACACTTATATTTTATGTATGAGAGGCTATCCGTGTTAGGACTCCCTAGTTTCCGAAGATAGTAGAAAGTGCTTTCAGGCTACACAAGATGTACGCCAGTAATTCACATGCCTCGACAATACCGCGACTCTCACGCTAGATTTAGATTTGAAGTCACTCTTACCAGGCTTTAGTCGGGCTGTAGAACAAAATTCGGCCCTTTTTTGGCGCTCACCTTTTCTTATCATTTTGTATAGCTCATGTCTTCTTATTCAACAGACGCAAGAGATTTCACCGCACTTAGGCCGTGTGTTCATAATCCATGCCTTACAAAAGCATTATAACCAGGGCCAAAGAGAATCGAAACGCTTCTGATTCTACGGGGTAATGTTGCACCAGATTGGTGGCCTTGAGCAAGGAGCGTATGGCAGTGCTTGACTGAAAGTAAGGCCGCCAGCGTAAGTCTTTTTTCATCTCGACTACTGTACCTGAAATAGGGTAGTCTCTTAATGAGACGAGTGTTGAATGTGATTCCAACGTTTCATGCACGCTTGTTGCCACATCTCATCGCAAATCCATCCGAGACACAACAAACTATACAAGTGAGTAGTACAAGACGACTGAGCATTCTAGAAGCATGAGGTTCCACCGAAATGTGTGATTTCAATCCTTTTGAATGCGGTTAACAAACATACAAGGGGTTATGTGGGCGAAACCAGCACAGAACGCTCAGAATGGGAAAAGTGGTGTTGTTGGTTGGAAGAACTAACTAACTGGCTAGAGGGCTGTGGAGGCTGGCTAAGACCAGTGGTGGCGGCCGTCAGCCCACGTGACGGGCCGGCGAGGCCTGCCACCCACACCCCCTCTCAGACTCCTCAGCGAAAAAGCAGTAGAATAATAGGAAATACAGGAAAAGTCCTAAATCCTCTAAATCCGAGGAGTTCTTAACTATTAGAAAACTCGGTTAATTACCGGTTAAACCTAGCTAATAGGAGGCCGTAAAATCCTCCGAATCCCGAAGTCTTAATATTAATAGTCTTATAGTCTCAAAATCCCCCTCTTAATCCAATCCCTCCGCCATGCCCAACAAACGAACGAATTCCTTGTGTTTAACCGTAACTAGTAGCTTCGTAAGTCTATCGGCAGCTATATCAACGCTTTTGATAAGTCGGAGTTCGATGCTTTTCGTAGTATAAACCTCCTGTATAATCTATTTGTATCGGACGTCGATATAGCGGGTTTATACCTTGTTAAGTAGGTTTATAACGTTATCATAGCCGTTAGTATTGTTAGTAAATATAATAGTAGGCATAGTAATAGGTTTGCTAAGTAGTTAGGAGAGGTAACGTCTAATCTACTTTATAGTAATTGCTATAGGTATAAGATTAATAAATTTAGCCTTTATAATACTTAAAGTTACGAAAGTCTATTTCTTTAACTTCTAAGCAATCGGCATACTAGCAAGGAAGACGACGTAACTACCTATCGAGACTCGTAATAGCTTGTTGTTAGCGAAAAAGGTATCTATAGCAGCGTAAAGCCTTAACTCGTTGATCGTAGGGATGCCTCTAAGTATAATACCGAGATAAACGGTACCTTTAAGGTATCGGAATAAGTACTTAATAGTACGAAGATAGGCCTTAGAAAGCCTTGAATTCGCCTGTGACAATTTACTAACGGTATAGGCTATGTCAACGCGAGTTCTAGCTACTAGGAAGTTAAGGCAGCTAGTCTGTTCGATATAAAGTTGCTATTCGTTAAGCAAGTACTCGTTCTTATCCTAGGTAATAGGCAGATCGTTAGTAGTCGCTATAAGCGTCTTGACAATACTTAAACTATTAAAGTTAAATCGTTAAAGTATTGCTTTTACATACTTAGCTTAGGAAACGAAAATCTTACCGGCAGCCTTGTCGCGTTTAATCTAGAAACCGAGAAAATCGGTAGCCTTGCCGAGGTCTTTAAGAGAATAAACCTTTTCGAGGAGACGACGAACTTCTATTATGACTTGCTTATTAGGAGTAGCGATAGCGTTATCGTCGACGTATATAAGAACGTATGCTTTAATCTTATAGTTAACGAAGAGATAAACCTCCTTATTAATAGTAGTAAAGCTAATTCGTTCTATTTCGCTTTTGATAAGACGAAACTACTAGAGTAGTGATTTTCTTAAGCTATAGAGTGCCTTATATAGTAACTATACCTTGTTGTCTTTGGTAGCGTAGCTAGCGGGAGGCTGGACGTATACCTTAACCCCTTCTAGAATCGAGGCGGCTAGGAAGGTAGTATCGAAATTATATACTTCGTATTCGAGATCGAGAAGTATGATAACTACGAAGAAGAGTTAGGTAGCGGTAGTAGAGGTAACTATAGTATAAACCTCTTATAATAACTAGTTACCTTTCTTATAGTTTCTATAAACTATATATCAAGCCTTATAGCGTACGATTTCGTTATTTTTATTAGTTTTAATATTATATACCTATTTGCTAGGCAAGACTTTAGCGTTACGTAGTAGGTAAACAACTTCGTAAACCCTCTTTTCTATAAATTAAGTTATCTCTCGTTCGAAGGCTTGCTCCTACTAAGGCTACTATAGGCTTTTTTACGCCTTGCGGTAAGACTTCGGAATCGCTACGCCGTCAGGTAGGACTTTCGAAAAGGTAGTAGTAGAAAGCATGCTGAGAGAGAATTAACAAGAAGTTAGTAAAGCTAGAATATTAGTAGATAGGAAGGTCTTTTTAGTATAGGAGCGTATGCTACTAGCGGCTTAGTAGTAACTAGGTAGTTGCTAGGCTAAGGCGCGGCAAGGTCGAGAAGACTCTGCCGGCTGACTTGTTGCTTCCTTAACAATCGTAGAGAGGGAATCAGGGTCCTAGTAATTAGTTTCTATTGTTTCTACGGAGGCGACGAATTCG